CGCTGTTGTAATTCTGTAGCCGTAGTATCGGTTCTTCAAAAAATATCTCAAGTTACGCATGGTCATAGAATTGTCAACGGCTGTGATAGTTTCAAATGGCTGCTATGGTTTCAATTCCAGTGAAGTTAATAAAAGCTCGTAGCCGTACTGTAGTTGTTATGTCCGACCCTACTTTCGGCTTTACTTGAATGGACGGTCGGCTGTTTAATCTCTGCGCTTCTGCTGGCTTCTCGGGTTGTCTCGCAATTGAATAGCGGCAGGAGCGACCGTTGCGCTGATGTGGGCCATGAAATGTAGCCGAGTCGTGGTCTCCAATCGCAGATTTTAGATATTCTTTCAGGGATCGTACCTGTATCGATAAGTTTAAGTTTCTCGTAACCGTTGATGTTCGAAAACAGGCAAAGCCGTCGGCCTCACGGCTTTGACCGTCATCCGCAGTCTGCAGACTGTGCTTTGGTGACCGTGACTTCAGAAGAATCACCTCTATAAGCTCCTTATTTACGCCGCTACCGCTCACACTTATGCCTAACTTTCGTAGTGACGAATTCCTCGAGTGGTGGAATTTCCCTCGCGAATGGATCGCCGACTTTGGGAGTAAACAAATTCGACCGCTATTGTTTGTTCATTCCCTAAATAAATATAGACTCGCTTTACATCCTAAATAAGTATCGACTCGCTTGGAATAACGTTTATTAATAATTGTTGTTACCACACGCAATTATTAGGATGCAACAAAAACCCCTCGCAATATTCCATCCTTCTTGACAGTTATAAGAAATAGGTTCTTGACAATAAAATAAATAGGATCTTGACAATATAAGAAAGAACACGTCAGAGCACGTGCACTGATTGTAAGCTTTAACAATGTACGAGAGTTTAAGTCGACGTAGCTACGGTAACGACAGCAAGGGATCTTGCACAGGATGCATGCACTCGAGCACCGCAGGAGGGATGATGATGCATGCATTGACAGCCTTCATCGTGTTAGCTTCTTAGAATTTCAGGAAAGGTCAGAAAAGCAAACGAAGAAACGTTAAAGTTCATATTAAATCCTTTTCAGTGCATAAATAAATATATATGCGTCGATATCTATGTTTTGATGCTGGTCTAGATAAAATTATAAAGGGTAATGCATTTATAACACTCACCGTATGGAACGTCATCTCACACCATAATGATTTTTCGCTTGCATCTATGGGCACATCGGACGGTAATTTAATTCATTAGACCCAGCAAAATACTCTAAAACAGACCCGATCTGCTGTGTGAGTAACTATATTAGCCTCAATCATCGTTGAATTAAACGTGTTATGTGCGTAACAGACTCAGACATTTGTTGCTTGCGATGATTGAGTAAGTTAACAACCGTCGACAAAGATGAAGTGAGAATACAACAATCAACATCCTTTACTTAAAAACCAAACTGTCTTGGTGAACAAAGACAATATAGGTACATGTTATCGCTCCTCAAATGTCGATATAAAAGTTATTAACGGCATGCATTTTAAAGGTTAACGGAAATTTGTCACTAAATGGAGTCACTTGGTAAAATGTGCTTTTAGCAAGAGCTTGCGGGGGGATTAAGCTTAGAGTTGCGTAAAATTTCCTGAAGTTAAGGTCAAGTGCCAATGCGTATATATACGTAGTTCATGTGTACGCCATATGAGCGATTTAAGTGGCATAGACCTTGTAGAAACTACTGCCCAAATGGAAGTAGATTAAATAAATAATAGTTGTGTCATATATTCACATTAGAATGAAACCAAAAACATTTCAAACAACACTCACTTTTAATAGCGTGGAAATAATGCTACGATGAGATTGACGCAAATTCGGGGTCAATGTGTACGACGCGTGAACTTGGACTCGGACGATTCAGTAAGCAGCGCTGAACTTATAAAGCTGGGATATTTGATGAATTTAGAGCTTTATTGCCATGTAATAGCACAGGGATGTCAGACTGGCACGCCTTCACGCTGCAAATGATAATGCAGTACTGAATACTGATAAATGATCGTGACATGCTATGGAGTTTTGAATTTGGCATGCAAGTATAAATATTGGTATATAACTTCACATCCAACATGTGTTACTAACAATTCCTCAATCATCATGCAAATGTATTGATGTGCTTTGATACCTTTATCATGGTTTAAAAGTTTTTTTTATTTCATTTATATTTTATTTATAATAATAGGTTTTTAAAATTTAAATGTCTATGAAAATATAAATAATTTAAGATCTTAGCCAAGGTGTGAGTATTTTATAGTATGGCTTTGACCGGGTTATTCCTTTGTAATGACAGTGCTTCAAAAAATATTCAAACAGTTCATACAATAGCCTAGTCTAATATTTCATTTTTTATCTCTTGTGTTGAAGCAAACACTCTAACATATGTTACCCGTCTTTAAACCATGAAACCATTATCAAAAGATAGCAGAGCATAACTTGTTGTCAGGGTATCATGATTTACAAGCATTCATGATTTTTATGTCATCTTGCTTCTTGCATATAACTGTGCTATCATTGAATTATGCAATAAAAACAATTTCTTATTAACAGCCGAGTTCTCATTTTCGATAAAATTTGAAACCTAAAACAAAAATGTCCCTATAAATCGCTTGAATGGCTGGAATGATAACATTTGTGTTCAATTTATTCATTTATTCATGTTGCTGCTATGCTAGGAATATTATTTTATTTTAGCAAGGGAGACTATTTTATTAATCAGCCGTTTGTGGAGTAACCTGCGTGGTTTAAGTTTTTCACTTCAACAATATAACAAAATATTGATTGTAATACATTTTTTTTGTATGCATTTATACATTTGAACTTTAAAAAAAAATATTTGTTTGTGAACTAGGCTGGGTCACATTATCTATTGCGTAAACCGTTCTATTGAAATATCCAAAGCAATTTCAACACAATGCCTTCACGAATAATCTACGGCATTCATAAGAGTCCACGGAGTACCTCTGTGAGACATTATAATAATTAAATATCACGTAAAATATACCTTAAAGTTGCCTCCGTAATGATATAGGGAAAAGGCCGAGGTTCGTCAATACCTGCATTAAATTATCAATAAATAAAAATTTTTACGGATTTTTTTTTCAGTTGCATTCTGCCTTGCAACTTTGGGCATACTCATCTACACTTATTTTCTTCTAATGTTTTATCGAAATTCCATCTTATTATAATAAGATGGAATGTATACATGAAGTATGAAGTATGAATCATGTATACATGAAGTATGAAGCTATATATTATATTCCACAACAAATATTAACCATTAACTTCCGGGATCGCTTTAAATGTCAAATTCCCACAAATTGCTGGTCCAAGAGACGATGAGATAAGAGGAAAGATTACAAGTTTGTTTTTAGTCCGTGACGAATTTTCAGGCCTCATAAAGTGCTGCAACAACGGGGCGCTTATCGCCAACCCTTATCTTGCTGCCGATAGCCGCGGCAACTGCAGCTGCAGCAAACTCAGCTGTAATTGCCGTAGTAAGAGTAAAAGTAAAAAACTAATATAATAGCATTGCTAAAATGGCAATAGTAGAAGAGGGTTCGGAAAAATCACCATGAACTGCAATGAATGATGAAATATAGCCGTAATCAAAGTAACAATAACGGCATAGAAAGAAACCATAGCATGCAGAAGCAACAGCATAACAACATCTGACGATACGTGATCAGCGATAGCTGCTATATAGATGCACTCACATTAATAGAAGCAGCAACTGAAATGACAGAAGTAACGTTGCACTGCAGCCCCAACAGAACCAACGGCAGCATTTATTTATTTATCATTATTTATCATGGACTTCTAATTCTCTCTATGCCGTCATGATCCGTAGTTATACCATGGCCTTCTAGTTCTCTCTATATGACGTCATGATCCGTAGTTACCATGGCCTTCTGTTTCTCTCTATGACGTCATACACCGTATTTGATATAATCTTCCTCATATATTGCAGCCACGTCATGGAAAGATAGCGATATGTGCTATCATCTGGGCTGACATCTCTCGCGGGTTCGCATCAAATCCCGGATCCGCATTCTGCATGTCCTATAAAGGTCTAAGGTGAAAAATGAGTTCGTCGGTTGGTTACTCATGCCTTATTTGCCTGTTACAACTCAAGTATAAATTAATACCGAACATTCATTACGTAAAATAGAGGATATTCTAATAAGAACAACTGGCATTATGTTCCGATGGAAACTATTGAAATCTTACAAAAAATGCACCTTCGATCATCATCAGAAAGTTTACCACGCGAGGCAAATTGTTTCCCAATTCGTCATGGCATAGTAGAAGATGCGACTGAAAACATGTTATCGAAATATTTATTAACAAACAGATGAGCTGCTCAAACATCCCTACAGAACAATAACATTAATCCCAATTAACTTTCAAACATTTTTACTTTGATGCCCCGATCAAAACTAGAGAATAAAAGTTAATTTATAGCATGCCTATGCCCACGCCTATCATTCTTTATATATTTTTATTATTTAATACCAACTTTTTGTCGAAAAATTATTACCTGTCCAAACTTAATCTTCGTCATATAATTAACTTCAAAGCGAACGGATGTGTAACCAAGCTCAAATAGTTATTTAAAATTCAACAACTTTTCACCAAAAGTCTTGCACATATTGTCAGGTTTCAAAAAGCAGTAACAACAACAAAGGTAGCGTGGATTTATTACATTGTTAATAGTGACCTGAGAATAGCACGGCAGCTTCAAGTGCTCGTATCTAAGCAGTGATAGCAGCAGGCATTTCCTGTTTATCGACAAAATTGTCCATTGCCTCGTTCAGCATAGCGCCGTCTGAAGAATATGAATTACCTACAAACATCCTAAATTAGGGAGAATTCGGTATCATATTTTAATACAAATGATTAAAGATATCATACAATATTCAGCCATCTAACTTCGCGGACGATCGTTACCCGACGGTAACTCCCAGGAATGCAAAAAGACAAGTGAATGCGAAGGATGGACATCTTTATTTGGCACAATGATTTACAAGCCGACAATAATGAACCTATGGATTTTGTTTGAGTTGTTGAGTTGGAAATGTTTTCTTTACTGGACCAGAAATCAAGGTAAACCCGATAAATAAACCCGATGTTCAAATATGGTCAATATTTCAGGCTACAAAATCATTATTAACATCCAGCACTTCATTCATTTTACGCATGCTAAGTTATATGATGCAGTTAGGGTGATTCACGGACATTGCCTGTTTTGTATTTCGCGCCAAGCAGCCATGCAGATGTTGTAAGAAAAAAGCCATGCAGAAAAGTATTTCTTATGACAGACAGGTTGATGAAGTTTGGTGACCCGCCAAGGCAGTTGCCACCATGTAATGGACAAGTGAGCAGCGTGCGTTTGCTGTCGAGGCTTACTTTTCTAATGGCCGTTCCATTATCGCTACTCAACGAGCATTCGGTACCCGGTTGCGTATTCGTCTTTCAGGTCGTGTTACTGATCGGAAATCGATAGTTACGTTGGTGAACACAGTTGGGGCAAGTAGAGTGCAAGGACCTTACCTCATTTGAAGAACAACATACGCCAAGCCATCGCCAACATACTCGTAAATATGCTTCAGCGAGTTGAATGGAACTTCGAAAATCGACTGACTGAATGCATTGACAATGGGGGCCGTTATTTGTCCGATGTCATCTTTAAAAATAAGTAATGTAAAAATCCAGGTAATGGCTTTTCACTAAAATTTATTTGTAATAAAATCTTTACCAGTTTTTTGACTGAGCTTTCAAATCAGGAAGTTTTCGTGAATCACCCTGTACAAATGATTCGTAAGGGTTTAATTACATATGGAGACAATGAAAAGCTCCAGATTATGTATGAAAAATTATGATTCTACGCTTTGACATTGCGGTCCAATCAACAGGCGCCACGTTGCGTCTCCGACTTACGTCCAATATATAAATGTTGCTTGCTGCATTTTGTCTTCCGATGCATCTCTGGGACATGCGTACCTTTCCTAGCTGAGTGGTCTGAATGTGCCTCCTGTGTGTTGGTTTCAACTTGTTAAACATACCGACATATTTGATGGTTTCAATATGCTAAACATGCCGCCACTTTTGACGTTTTTTTCGACAAGTTTTACATGCCGCCACGTTTGACGTTTGTTTCGATAAGGTTTACATGCCAGTACGTTTGACGTTTGTTTCGATAAGGTTTACATGCCAGTACGTTTGACGTTTGTTTCGATAAGGTTTACATGCCGGCACGTTTGATGTTGGTTTCGATAAGGTTTACATGCCGGCACGTTTGATGTTGGTTTCGACAAGGTGCTGCTTGAATTGTTAGCATGAGTCCTGACGCACGCGTATCTCTTGCCCAGCAATTCAATGATAACTCGTAATTGCACAGAATTGTACGACCACTTATCTGTGTTTGCTTCCAGGCAATTGCTGAGATAGATGACAATCGGTCAACCACGAATTAAATTCATTAACTCATTTACGGGACGTTTGTTGAGTGTGAAAGTTCAAATGTAGTGAACATAGGTGATATATTCCTTTACATTTTCTGTTCAAATACTGGAGATACAGCAGCGCCAATGAATCAATATATATTTATGAATTCGACGTAAGACATGTTGCCGTGGCAAGGTAATTTGCATGCTTCTGTATTGTTATTAATATATGCATGACAGTACATGGCAGGCATGTGTAGTAGATTTGCTTCCTGCGATCATTCAATTTATTAACCCTGGCCGGGGACATTGAAACATGCAGAAATTCACGAATAAGTTTCGATATGGTTATAAGCATGCATGCATGCCACCGCTTTTCCTGGTATGTTGGTTTCGAAATGCTTGGTCGACCGCTACCGCTTGGTTGGTTTCAAGTTCAGGGTGAATTATTGTTGCAAGATTTTCCAACTGATCATATTTATTTATGCACCGAAGTTACACACTATTAAGAGCTATGGACGATATTCATGCATTTCATAATCTATCTTACTTCAATATTTATTTATTGTTCATTTGTGATGCATGTTCAAGGAAGTGTGTCCAATTTCACGACAAATTTTTTCCCGATCATTTTCAAGAAAATTTAGCGTATTGAAAGCGCCCGTCGAAGTTAATGAATTTAGTGAATCCGGTCATGGCTCCAAGTTGCTTTGATATTATGTAAAGTTGAACATCAAGGGAAACTATCGAATTTCAATATGAATTACCATCATCAAATTACTGCATGTAATTTGTGGAGATATTGGGATATCTAGGCCATAATCTTTTTAAGTCATCATTTATAAATACCTAAACCTGTTACGGGCAATGGGCAGAAGATTGAGAATCGGCAGATTCACAGTAACTTCGTCTCTAATACAAGCAGGATGACGTGCTTAACATTTTGGCGGAGAATTTTAGTTGTCATGCATTCGAACTTGACTTCCCAAACGGAAGATGCTACAATGAGGACATCATTAATTGCATGTGTGTGCGGTGAGGTCGCACGTATGTTTATAGAGCCATCTTTGATGAGATGTGTTGAATTGCAGATACGTGATAGGAAGGCATGGCGCCAAAATTAGGCCATTGATCTCCACACTCCGGCTAATTTCCTTCAGAAGAAATGGATGAGAAGGAATTCAAAATGACCACGAGGATAGAGTAGCCGTAAGTGTGTTTCGCTGACAATTTAAATGAATTAATGTTTCTATATTATGGTTGAAATTTCTCTATTGATGGTGTCTAAATAAAGCCGTAATTCGCATGATGTAGTAATATGAAGTCCCTTGTACTGCCGGCATTTCATTTCATTTTTCTGTTGATAGTTCATATGTTTTGCAGTACACATGCACTATACATAATCGTTAATATTATTAAGCAGAATATTCAAAGTTGAACCATTAGTGACCATCGTTCATTTTCTCTAAGGAACGACTATTGCCTCGAAATCCAGCATCGTTGGGTGACGTATAAGAAGCAGAAGCCGTTCAGAAAAGTGTTGCCATAGCAGAACTTTATTTCCAGGGGATAGTATATGCTATTATTATCCTCAATGATAATAAATCAAGAGAGGTCTCGTGGTACGCCCGATGCAAGTGGCAATTTAAATCCATATTTGCTCGAATATATCCATCGTTATAACAACGGCGCGGCAACTGCACCGCCAGGGCAATTTACTCTGATTAGCCCGTGCATTTAACTCGCCTCTGTTGAAGGCCATTGGACCATCAGCTTATGACTGATGATTAAAAGCGTGCAAACACTCGTTGGCTTAGCACAGCGGGAACAACGTAGTGTAAGCTGTGCATGTATTTAGAATTTTAGACCAAGCAGAGCTGGCTGACTGAGCGCAAGCTGTACATGTATACTGAGACCAAGCAGAGCTGACTGACTGAAGAAAGCTGTACATGTACTGAGACCAAACAAAGCTAGCTGGCTGACTGAGCGCAAGCAGTACATGTATTTTAGACCAAGCAGAGCTGACGAACTGAGCGTAAGCTGTCCATAAACTGACATCAAGTAGAGCTGGCTGACGAGTACTGAAGTCAAGCACAACTAGTGGACTTTACAAGCACAGGTAACGCTGGGCGCTGCTTACATGTATACAGTAAAGCTGCTGCTTACATCTTACATTGCAAGCTGCTAATGTGTCGAGATTAAGCAGAATACATAAATATAAATAAATTACGGGCTTTTATTTTATTCGGTGATACATCTGAAGTTATGGCTACTCCTGAATCGGAATCACGAATATTGTGAGCGACTTGCGTCTAGTCAGCGCCCTTCTCATGCCATCGCTGACAAGCAAAGCTGTGCTTGCGTATGGGCAGTGGAATTGTTTCGCATCAAACTATTACAACTGATCATACCATTCACTGCTACAACGATTCTTACATTATGCAAAATATAAATATTGGGATTATTATCTATTTTCTAACGAATACTGATGGCTTTTTATAGCCTTTTAGAGGACGGAGGTGAATCTTTCTTGAGGGCCTGTGAGAATATGGAGCCCTTGGCCAGGCTGGGTCTTGGTCCCTTAACGAGGCTAGCGTTGGGCCCCAGCGGGACGTAGCTGTTGGACTGGTCTCTCCTCAAGGCAAGGTTTGGGCCCCTGGCTAAAGACTTGCTTGGCCCAATGATGTTCTCAGAGTTGGGCCCATGCCACGGTGTGTAATCCGTTCTGGAGAAGGTAAAATTTTTAGGGAATAAATTTTAACCTTTGAAAATCAATGTGAGTCTGTAGCTATCGTTTATCAATATTATCACAATGCATACAAATTTTTTCAATGGGAACTCGAAATATGGTTCGATTATATAATATAGTTAATTTCATCACTGAATAATCGGTGCACTGTTCATTCGCATCGGATTTCATTCGCATCGCGCAGATCACCATACATCCCAATAAATTGATCACCAAAAATCGTATCACACATGACCAGCCACCAACTGATATTTACAACAAATGAAGAAGAGACCAAAGGCTGAGATGGTCCCTATGGAGGAGAACTCACAGCAGGAGGTCGTCGCAGGGCCCCCGGTGCAGGGCCGGGTCGGGGCCGAGCGCGCGGCTGCCGTTGTCGTCGGTCGGCATGTCGCTCATCGCCACGCCTCTGTGGGACGAGCAAACAAAGAGAATAAGTCTTCTGGTGCCAGTGTAATAACGCTCAAGATTGCTTGCAGTATTCTGCCATCACGCTCAAGATTGCTTGCAGTACTCTATTCTGCCATCACGCTCAAGATTGCTTGCAGTATTCTGCCATCACGCTCAAGATTGCTTGCGGTGTTCTGCCATCACGCTCAAGATTGCTTGCGGTATTCTGCCATCACGCTCAAGATTGCTTGCAGTATTCTGCCATCACGCTCAAGATTGCTTGCTGTATTCTGCCATCGCGCTCAAGATTGCTTGCTGTATTCTGCCATCACGCTCAAGATTGCTTGCGGTATTCTGCCATCACATTGGACATAGAATGGGCAACAGAAAAAATAGTATAAAGACAGGGTTACGATGAAACACTGGTACATTTACTAGTAACGGGGTAGCAATTGAATATTCTAAGTCAACAAAATTACCAGCACAGAAAAAATTAAATAGGAACAGATTCTATATGAACTTTTTTCCCGTCAGATTACGTACTTTACTGCCTACTTCTCTAGAAACGTTGAGCCACGGTGCTGACCCATAGAATGGAACAATATTATCGTAGCGGGTAAATCTCCATCAAGTTTGTTACTGATTTGTCCGTACTGACGCATTGTTCAAGGTCGGCATGACATTCATGAAGGTCGCTGGTCGGCATGGCAGTAGACCGAATGTTACTCCACGTTTGTTGCCGTACTGCTGTTTATGATGATGACCGTGATCATACTGTGATGATGGCCGTGACGGTTATAATTGTTGTTAGGCGCTCGATACGTGAATGTTCTAAATGTTGGCTTTAAATGCGCTGAACGTCTCGTTGTCTCCCGCGTTGTCTCACGGCTATGTCACAGCCGTAGTGTTGATGTTCGCCGCACATAAATAAATATGGCGATGGTTACAATAGAAACGCCACCCTCTGCACAAATTTTGTATCCTCGCCACTACAGAGGCGTTTCAAGTTTCCATGGTCAGCCCTCGGGATGCCCTCAGCCGATACAAAATATAAAGTAACTCGATCCCAAGTAATATTATCCCAGTCTTGTGGTCAAGCCTTGTCCTGTGTTTAATTGCTTAACGACTTTCGGCCACTCTCAATTTCTCACCATAGTCTAAGTTCACTATTATAATATTAGGTAAAAATCCATACTTCCTACTCATTATTCAGTCATGTTTGAGATTAATTACGGTAATCCAACTCAGCGCTGGAGATTGATGATATATTGGCGGCAGGTGTTGAAGAAAAAGTTACCTGAAATCAGAGACGGTTTATAAAATTTGACTGTGAGTAGCGTACTTATTATAAAACTAGCCCTTTCGTTTGCTGGTTTCTGGTTAAATTGGCATGTAAATGTAATCTAGAGGTTGATAGTCGGACCACCATTTGGTTGTTGTGGGGCCAACACTTGGCAAACAAATTAAAACTGTTTGCAGAAGGTTTATGAATATGGATGCCGTTTATGATAATGGCCAGTTCATCGAGAAAATTAACAACCCTGTTTGACGTAGGTTACAACTTTTTTCTACCGAGTTGTATTTTTTCATTGATGTATTTTATTATATACAATCTTATATATACAATTTTCTCTTAATTGGCATGTTCTTGATATGAACTTTTTTACAAAGTGACAGCGAAAATGACCGATAATGAAAAAACAGACAGAGATGAATTCCCGACCGAAGCCAGATGGACGACCTGCTATTGATGAGGTTCAGATATGGCAAAACATTTGGCAAAAGAGAGCCGCATTGACTATCAGAAAATGTTCATTCGCGATTGAATAGAATATTTTCGAAATTTTGCATCTTTTAATATGAAAAAACTATATTGGTCCAATTGGTCCATTAAATAGAAAATCTTGTTAAAAACCGTATTTTTTGCACATAATTCATTGTGGAAAATTCGTTTAAATGTTACTGAAAATCAACCAAAATAAATCAGAACATGTTTATTACCATACTAATTAAATTCAAAGCATGTGACCAAATTGGGTGCAGAGTGTAGATAGAAGATTGATCGGTATCGGTTTACGCAGTCAAGCCAATTATTTAAGTTTCACTCTCACTTCAATAGTTTCACTTACTTGTCAAAAATTTGTGCTCGTGTTTCAATAAATAAATTTTGCCACTAAAACTTTATAATGAAAATTTCCACAAAAATCTAGAACAATCGACCTTGCCTTTCTCGTGCGAATCAGAGGTCCCGATTCTCGCAAACATTGACTACGCCGGACTATTATTTAACCACGCCGGACAATAGCTGAAGATTGACACGTATGGTAAAATTAGTAACATTACGTTTACGGGGAGGTTCAGAGAAGCTGGCCACATCTGTCATCGTTCAGAGAGCTGCGTAAAGTACGTGCGTGCGTAAAGTCGGTTCACACGTGCCCTGTTTAGATAGATCAGCGCCAGCGGTTGCCAACAAACGTTGATGACGTAACTATGACTGTATCCAAACATCGTAAGCAGTAGTGCACAAACACAGAAAAAAATTATCAGCCAACCGTTTGTTATGGAAAATAAATCGGCTTCACGACGTGTTGTCTATGCGAGTTACCCATCGTTGAATGTGTGGAGCGGCCTCAGCCTCACTGCTGGGCTGTGATGTGAGTGGATAAACGCTCCAATTTCTCCCTCCTATCATATCTATGCTCTTATCACGAACTTTTATATAGTCAGTCATAGCAGTAGCGACACATCTGATATATCGTTTAACAAGAATATTGCTCCGTTCTGACATAATGTTTTGTTCGTGGAGTGAAGTATTTCTTTAACTTGCTCTCTCATAATGTGTGATCAAAAATGAACAACTTAAATGATCAACTCTAGTTCAGCACGTGTCATGCGAAAAGCAGAACAGATTGCTAGTCCACAAATTACGAACGTAATCTGTATGTAATTACCTAAGCCTGTTAACGAGCTCTCCATACAATGGACTTATTGTGTCAATTAGATTTTGACTGAAAGATCGAAATAAAATTTGGCATGTGTTCGCGAGAACTATTCAATTTACTCGCATCTTTCTACTGCCAAATTCAACTCGAACATAGCTACATTTTTTTTACTGATGAAGGTTGTTATAAATTCACATATGTATCCCTTAATTTTATTCGTTCGTTTGAAATATGCAAGTACGAAGCCCTGACATAGACTGAATTTCTCAATATACTCGTTTAAACTCTGAACGTTCACACTAGTGTGTACATGCGTAGGACTAGACATGGTGGTGATGAGGGGGGTCTCAAGCACCACCGGAAATGCCTGCATCAGTAACATGGGGGGGCGATATGCATAGTTGACTGCGGCTACAGCTGTGCACGTCGAGCAGCTTTTTATACATAATGGATGAGCAGACTTCTCATTGCACCATGCCACTGTTGCCTGGCAGGATATAGCGGGGTCGTTGTGGCCGGTAGAATGGTTTTTAAACGTTTAAGATAGAGCCGAAAACTTAATAAGCCCAGATGCCATTTAAATTAATTTTTAAACACATTTTTTGTAGTAAGATCGTCCCAGCGATTCTTCGATTTAACTTGAAATCTTGAACTAATTTTCGCAACCAAAATAGTTTTTTGCAACACGAAACTCTATTTTAAATTAAATATTTGAAGGTTCAGTCGAATGAACATATCTTCTGTTTCATTAAAATAATTTCTATCTTTCTTTTCACTTTTTTTTTTGCTGCTAATAAAACTAGCGCTTAATCACAAGTATTATAACAAGTACATTTGTTCTTTTGAAAAGCTAGGATTCACTGCACAGTGTTCAAATGGTCTGAGAACATAACCACGGCAAAATACACGAAAAACTGAAGCCCGCTTGCCCCAATAATTTCCAAACAATCAATGTTTATATGTGAGCATAAGGAGTTTAGACGCAAAAAAGAAGTCCCTTCAACGAAGTTAGTAAGTTTACAGATCATTACACGTAGCTATGTGATGCGATCGACATTACGACTTATTGTCCAAATTGACTTATTGATAATTGGCTTACTCTGCGGTTATTTATAAAAAAGGTTTTAGGTAACATATAGTATCATAGTTGAACGTCATCAAATGATGCATTAGAAGGCATCTAAATAATAATTGAGCACGTGACAGACTATATCAATTGATATAGTCTGTCTACCTTAAGGAAAGTTCTGTCAGTCCATGGATTTTGCAGCATCTTAGAACTAAATGACAACAGGAAATTTATAAGACATCCCAACAAAAAAAATAGCTTTATATTACAATAATGAAATATAATCACTAACGGTGAGGGCTGTCCTATGGCGTGGGTCCAGGCAAAGTTGACCCTGGGTCTGGGTAGAGTTGGCCTCACTGCTCGGCCCGAGCGCACCGGCGTCTGCTGATGGTGATGCTGGTGACTGTCGCACACACTCACGCCATCTGTGATGGCTCGTCTGAAGACCAAAAATTCACTATCAACTGTACTGACATCTCGTAATTTCGGAGGAGATTTTTGCACCATTTATAATATTATATAAATTGGGTTGAAACATGATCAAGAACTGATTATAGAAGGCTTCTTGTTATAGAATACTTCATTAAAATTAAAGAATTAACAATAATTATTCCGAAGCAAATTTAATTAAAGGTAACCACTGATAAGAAACGGTCTGTAATTATCCATTGCGCATGCAGCATGCTGAGGTTGTGGTGGCGTTTTAGCCGTACGCAAAGAGGTAATTTGCTTGGATCTTGTTGATATGAAATCTAGTTGCCGAGGTATAAAGTCAACACAGCGGCGCTGTGATGCAGTCAACAAGCTTGTCAGAGTTGCAGAGTCAGCACTTTTCTGTGGCCGTGTAGCTGAGCTCACTCCTCTTACACTCGCTCTTGCGAAATAAGTAAATGTGAACTCTAGTGGATTGCGATTACTATTGTTGCTTGGACGTCCAATCCTTAATTGTAAGCAAGCTCAAGTCATCTAACTCAATTTTCGTTGTAATAATGAACTCGTTTGAATTCGCAGAGCTTACGTGTTTTCTTTTTTAATTTCAGACTAACAATTTTACACCATTCGAAATCGTGCGAAAATTTAATGTCTGCCAGAAATTAAATAACCGATGAGGAATAATTATTGTTCTCCCCATGTAATACGTCGGTTTTGTATCGCTTACATTCCCGGAGAATTGTTCACGAAAAACAGGATTGTCTTAAGTAAAATCACTCCTATATGGTGGAATGAAAATTAAGTGAGCATTTTTGAATTGCATAGCATTTTTGAAAACCCAACCTGCAAGGAGCGTCTTATATGCGACGTATTGTTCTGATCAGTGACAGTGTCACTAATAAAAATGTATACAAGGAATAAATATATGAAAGCGGCAGATATCGTCTACCTGCAGTCTGAGGAAGCGTAGCATATTGGCTCTTGTAACGATGTCTGTACATGTCAACTATAACTGCATGTACATTGTTATTATTCACTATCTTTACATTGTGCATATTTTTTACATGTCAAAAATGCTGTTTGACGATAGGAAAAACATGAAATTAAGGTCGTATCATCAATACTTTACCGAACTTCAAATCTCCTATTTCATTCATAATTAACTTACCCGAAACCTTTTCCATTCATAGCGTCTTTGATGAGATTGTCTAAAAATTATGGCACTGACTCACAGATATAAATTTAATTAATTTGTATTATATACACATTAATTGTTTAATGGCATATCTATATATGATTATATTTCATTTTGCCACTTCAATATTATTCGTCAGGAGATCGGAATTTAAAATTGAATACGAAATCACAATTTTTTACAATTAATACCAGCCATCAACATGATAATTTTATTAATTTATTTTAACAAAAGGTATAATCAGAAGTAATTTCAACTACTATTTTCATCACAACTGGTCTCTCAGTTTTTTACAATTTATTTGAGCCATCAGCATAATTTTATTAATTTGTTATAACAAAAGGCATAATCAGAAGTAATTTCAACTACTATTTTCATCACAACTGGTCTCTCAGTTTTTTACAATTTATATGAGCCATCAGCATGATAATTTTATTAATTTGTTATAACAAAAGGTATAATCATGAGTAATTTCAACTACTATTTTCATCACGACAGGTCTCTCGATTTTAAGCCCGTACCGCCTGAGGTCCCCCGGCGTGGAGGCTCGAGTTTTGTCGCGCGTCTTGAGTTTGCCGTCGTCCTGCGTGGCTTTGAGCACAGCCTTGGCCAGCTCCTCGTCATGCCCTACGGACTGCAGCGCCATGCGCAGCACTGTTGGCGTCACGTCAGGGAAAGCCTCCGCTAAACGCTGCCGAACTGTGCCAGGGTTACTAATTTTGGACGGTGCAGTCGTTACAATTTGATTTTGTATATTACAATTTAACAAATGGATAGGCCCAGAAATTATAAGCGTGTAGGATTTAAATTTTTACTAAAACTATAAGTATAGGCAGAACTGGGCAGCGCTACTTTGAAATGTAGCGGACGCTACCGCTACCGCTACATTGCTTAAAATGTAGCGCGCTACTGCCCACCTCTGAGTATAGGAGTCTATATATTTAATATATCTGAATGTATGTGGCACGTGACGTAATTGAAGTTGTTGACACAAAACAAACAATTGAACCTCGGAGTCTTCATAAGTTTAATAGATGTTACTGATTAATATGAAATCCAAAACATGGTCGGGATATTTTGTAGACATGTTTGCGTGCGCTTGGTAAGCTGTGCGAACTTGCCGTGACAGAGGGCACATTAATTCTCTTCAATCTTGTGCAGGGTTGAAGGTCGCTATTGATTATATGGCCAGTGATCGCGCGATGGCATGATAGCCAACAAAGTGTTAAAAGTGATATATATAAAGATATAATGTGAGAATTACGTTCTTCCTAAGTTATGCATTACTCTAGTCTAGTGTTTTGACGATCAATAATAGATGGAATATAAAACAGATGGAGAATAAATGGAACACATAACAGATGAAGATCAAAGGCACTTACTATTTCGGTTGTGCATTTCCGACAGAAACTTCGGTCGAGTCGGTAGAGGGGAAGGATTTGGTGAGGATTTAGGAGTCTCTTGCACCGAACTCTTTAGCTGAGGAGGCACCATGGATAGTTCCTTCTTTACGTAGCCTCTCGAGACGAGCGACTCGCAAGCCTCCTTGACGTTGTACGAACACTGCGTCAAGACGTCCAGTATAATGATGGGATCCACGTTGGGGAACATGCCTTTAAGGTACCTGAAAATCAAAAGCAATTGTTTCTATATTATGATTTTGCTCTTCTTGAAAATAAAAAATCAACGTAAATTTAATTTTTAACTCCGAACTGAAATGGTTGTCATCACTTATAAAAATTTCGTCTCTTTCACATATATACGTGATTTGAAACTCTGATCTTGGGTCAAACAACTGAGAAAGTTCAAATTAGCTGGAATATTTTTATTCATAAACACTCACCTGAGCTTGATCTTTGGTGAGTGCGGGGAAGGTCTTGGGGACTGAGATGGTCTTGGTGAGGAAATAATAGATCGCGTGACTTCAGAGGTGGAGCGCGTGGTGGTATGGGGCGAGGACGCTCTGGTCGAGAGCCTCGGAGATCCCAGCGATCCCCCCATGGTGGACTGGTCCCCGAGTGATCCTATCCTCTCTAGGAGATGCGTGCCACGCACTCTTTCGTAGCTGGCTCTAAAACCATGCAAAATATATTTCATTTACATGAAATATTGCATAATTTAAAGAGTCCTAATTATGGCGCACCTACGAATATAATGGGAATTGATATTGATTCACCTTATATGGTTATGATTTGGAAGCCACTAAACTCCGCGGCACTATAACGCTCATCACTATGTCATGTATTTAATGCTAAAAAGCAGGGTTTTCATTTACTCGCGTTGGACCTCGCAGCCTTTAGCACACGTGATTTTAGGCACATTAAATATGCAATCTAAAAACTAATCCTTATTGTGAAGTCAAAAAATAAAATATAAATAGTTCGGATTAAGCTGAAAATTCAATAGCCCTATATCGCAAACATTTGAAAAAAAATAACTCAGTACTCATTGCAGTGAGTGACAGAGAGCGCATTTTCTCGTCGACGAAAACTTGAGGTCACGGACAGACGGACGGACAGACAGACAGACAGACAGACGGACATAGCGAGCACAATAATGCATTTTTTCCATAAATGAGAAAATGCGCTAAAAATATGTTTTGGTATGAAATTATCACTCTCAAATTCCCAATTCTACGCCTTTCGATCACCTCGACTGAATGTTACTCCTCTCAGGTGTAGATGGACGAGAGTTGAACGACAGCGGAGCAGCAGAGACAGGGATAGTCGTAACTGAGGTGATGCCAGTCGCCGGCGGTTGGGTCGAGCCATATTGCGATCCCAAGCTGTGTGGACTGAAAGCCGAGCTCTTGAGAGGGGAGACGACAGTGCCAGCAGTGGAAATGGAAGAAGACGTCAGTGCTGAAGTCAGAGTAGCTGTCCGACCCAAAGTAGTTTGCTGTTGAGGTTGTGATCCGGTGTGGAAAGCCGCGAGTGCTGCAGCGGTCGGGAGGAAATGTCTCGCTGGAGGTGGGGTGAAGGTGCCATAAGGACCTGGGGTTGCCAAAGGATATTTGGCCACCTGTAGGGCACTGATCACTACCGTGGTGCGCTGATGGTACCTGTTGGCGAATACTAACATCATGAAAAACTGATAACTGGAATGTATAGAACGATTTTTCGTATTTATTACTCTTTTTTCGATAGTTTATAAAAATCCTACCACGCATTTCGTGGTAATATAAATGTTTATAACAAAATTTGTTATAAGCACCCAGGAGATTGAAATTCGATAAGAAGTCTAAGTTGACACAAAATTAACATTCATTATAGGTAAAGTTTAAATGCCAAATTAACATCCGAAAATCAAAATTAAATGCTACTCTGACATCGACTAAATAGTAATTTATTTGCAATTCTGTTTTGCTACAAAACACTTATAGTTTTAAATCTTTCTTACTTCTTGAGCAGTTCCTTTATACGGTTCTCAGGAACCGTTGGGAACATCGCAGATATTTTAGCCACATCCATCTCGTTCTCAGCGTCCTGCTTTCAAAAATATGAGAACTGTAATTGTTTTCAAGTGCTTTTAAATTTAATTTTCACTCACAAATTTTATATTCAACTCACGTGACTGCAAACCAATCTGATAATTATAATTTATATTCAAGAACTCGTTTTTCAGCAAAAATTTTATATTTTTTATAGCAGTTAAATAATTATGAATAATATTGCACATTTTTATGGCTTCTTGTTAACATTAAAAATGCACATAACGTATTCTGCCTGACCCGTGAAGATGGTAGACCTGATGGCGGAAGAGTTGGCACGATTGGCAATCCTGATCCTCGAAAATTGATCACGTCCTGTTGGAAAAACGAAATTATAAATGAATATCACTTGCTGGAAGTAGATTTACCTCTTTGAGCCATCAGAAGACGTACCCGCCCACTTCTTAACTGCCGCAGTTGTACCGGTATTTTTTTTATTTATATATATTGCTAGCTTTTGAATTTACAAGCGAACTCGGTTGCTAGTTTGATTCAGACTCTGACCATACGTTTGATTCAGTCTCATCAGATCCCTAAATGACGCCTTCTCATGTCAGGTAATATATCGTGACAACTTCTTATATACTTCAAATGTATCGGAACTAATAGTTTATTCTCATTCGATATTGTGAAACTATTTGTTCGCTGTTGGAGATGTCGGACATTTAAAAAAATTATATAATATCCTTGTGATGTATGTGAACTTTATAAGACAATATGGTCAAGGCACTGTCAATATCACCCGACTTTACAAAACAACTGCTTCATCAACAGTGTATAGAACGTAGTTGTGTGGAAGATTTGTAAATTACTAAAGTTATGAATTTCATTGAAAGTGAGGGAGAAAGTGTTGAGATGTTTAGGAATGTGGGCTCAAGCGATGTTGTGTGTATAACTTAAGGCGTGATTGTCTCGAGACCGAGTTAGTTTACATCACTGCGAAGGTTAGGGATAAGTGTGCGGTGACGACGCAGCGTAAGTTCGCGCCAGAGAGGTTCTTGGTTATTGTTATTGGGAGATACCGGTCACCCAGCACGGTCTGTAGTCTGCACTCTGCAGACATATCGTGACGCCCTCGGCCGTGAGACCGGAGCTTTCGCTCGTTTTCGAACGTCAACGGTCGCGATTCCTGTAAAAGCATCGACAATCTATAAATGACGACCACGACTTCGGCCTTGAATATTGTACGTCCGGGCAAGCAGCGATTATAAAGGCGACAAAGTAACGTCGGAGAACGGTCTGGCACTCCAGGAGCAGTACGGCCAAGAGCTGGCAGCAACGGTAAATAAGTGGAAACCATCGCAGCCGTTTCAAATTCCCCCCAGAATCTGAGATATCTTTCGAAGAGACAAGATGACGGCCACAGTATACTACAACCGCGGTACAGTGCCTTAGAACAACATGACCGTCATTGTACGGCGGAAGACCTTCGTGATCGATACTGCCCCGGCATAGCAACCGTATTACTCTATGGGATCACACTACGGCTTAACGTTTTCCGGCAAAGTAGGAAAGTCGAAGAACGGTTAGAGGCTCTTAATTGCGATGTGGTTCCTGTAATTCTTTGATTAAGAATTCTGAGTGATGTTTCCTTAAGATAAATGTTAATATTCATTTACAGGTCTCATTCTGAAACAGTGACTTTGTTATCTTGGATATAAACTTGATTTTCCCTGTTGAATTTTATGAGAAAAAAATATTTATTTTGATTCTCATGTACTACATTTGCCGAGATAATTTCCATAAATTCCACTGAGCATTGGTCTAAACGCGCCTTTTGTTGGCCGTATACGAACAAGCTATTCTACCAAATAAACAATTGATTAGACGCACTAGAAGTGCAAAACGAATTCTGAATACAAACAAATATAGAATAAAAATAATAATTAACATGTTTTTATAAGAGAAAGCAAAAGGTGACTGTAAAAACATTATTTTGTTAAAATTTATTTGGATGATAAACTCTTTTACGCTTACACCAGGTGTCAAATTCACCCTCCTATACTGAAGTAACGAACCCATACACTTTTAAGCACTTCAATTAAGTAGAAATTAAAAAATATATAACTAACTCAGTACTCACTGCAGTGAGTGACAGAGAGCGCATTTTCTCGTCGACGAAAACGTGAAGTCACGGACGGACAGACAGACGGACATGGCGAGCACAACAGTGCATTTTTTCCATAAATGAGAAAATGCACTAAAAACTGGTCGTATTTAGATTTTTTATTAAAATTTTGTATAAAATAGCAATGAAACATATTAGACCAAATTTGCCCATTCCGTTATCTGAAATTCCACATCTCCAACTCGCATCCTCTGTTTCATCACGAGCGAGCAATGGGAGAATGCGTATATATATAGGCGATTAATTTCACTATGTGGAGACTCGTAAAAACACACAAAAGCCGGATCATTACTGAAGCCAGATTAAGCGGTGCAAATGAGTTATTCGAGTCTCACGTCAGCAGACTGTGCTTGAACTGTGTCATAAATCTCGACCTTCTCGTCAACAGCTGTTGGTTTCAATACAAGCAGATTATGCTGCTGTTTATTATTCAAAATTCTTATGTCAAGAATCGGACTTACACAATGAACTATAGAGGGGTGGACTTATCGTTAACTTTAATGCACATGAACTAATAATTAATTACCCATTGGGATTAAATGGTACATCGGGTACTTTTGGCCATTAATTGTGATACACCGAGTGCCTGAATGTACTCAGCTTCGTTCATAAGAACTTATGCGGAATGGTTTCTACATTCTCCTAGGCATAATATTGAGAGAACTCCGCCATTTTTCCTCCATGTCATGTCACTCAGCAGTGAAGAATGATACAGTGTAATTTTTGCAGTTGATTGTCTGAGCATGTTAAACTTTATGAATTTTCTCAAAATGCAAATCATCGTTGTATTGCAGTGGAGAACCTAAAATTATGTTCTTGGTAACAAAACGCCTCACATTATCGTGAGATCTAAAGTTCAAGGCCATAATCATACATAAATCAAGTACCTACGGATTGTTGCCATTAGTATATCAGAATATTGTCCATAAATATATTCTAATCTATTTGTGTATACAAATTATTAGCCTTTATAAAATAACCCCTTATCCATGATCACCAATGTCAAGTATCGTGGCGTATGCTGTTGCCTTGTTGAAACAACCTCGAAATGAGTGGAATGTCGAATCAATGTCGTCTTGGCATCACGTTGCTACCAACGTCATCGATCAAAAACATTGATTTCGCTGAATGACGTGCGCTAATTGCATAAAGAGGTAGCTAAAAAGAGCTACTTCTCTTCCGTAGAAGAGAGGAGCGTAGTCGAGTCAACAACTACAGGCACGTGACCAACATCGATCTTATCGTGAACTTGGGAGGTGAGCATCGTTCTTATCGTGAACTTGGGAGGTGAGCATCGTTCTGATCGTAAGCTTAGAAGGCGATAATCGTTTTTATCGTGTGCTGGAGAGCGAGCATCGTTATCATCGTGAGCTAGCAAGAGGACAATGACTAATTACTTCTTGACTAAGGTCAAAATAAATCTGTCAACCTCTATACTGCAGTTGTGACGTGACATGAACGCACATGCAGAGCAGCTTTTATTCTGACATTACATTTATGGATCTTGTGCTACTCATGCAAATCTTTGTTGTAAAGCATCATTTATTCTAGAATATTATTAATTGAGCTTTTTTTACAAGCGAAAGGTCAGTCGTGGAACACTAACATTCCAAACACAATACGCGATTTCTTCTCCACGCGCATTCATTATAAACGCAATGAGCGATTTCACAAAACAGATAACACTTAAAAAAATAGTGGTGTTACCTCTGGTAGGAACACGCGAGTTATGTTGGAATTACTCAGCAGGGTTATTTGCATTTGATGAGTCATAACTAGAAGTGCAGTCAAAGGAGCAAGCATTTAGCAAGAAAACTATGTGCCGCATTTTAAAGAAAATTACACTATTATCAGTTGGATACTGATCTGTCGTAGAAATGACTAATACGTAATGCAAGCTACATGAATTATCAATTAATTTAGAGTTGTTATGTTCAAGCAATAAATTGTTTCGAGATGTTTTGTTTTATTTTTGCTTCCTTAAATTTGCTCACGGTTTATTAACACAGACACATCGATGGCATAAAGCAGAAGCACAATGGTGCTCGCTCGGACGTTCACAGAAAGCCGTAATGGGTTGTGGTAGCAAAGCGGTGGCCAAGAGATCTCTGTAAGACTGCAGCGCATCGTACTTACTAAATAGTACTCTTAGTAAGTAGTACTCATTGTAAAAAATACGAGTAAATTATACTCTCAGTAGAGTTTTTTTAGTATTACTTTAGTTTCGTTGAAATCCTGGGGTATATGACATCAATGATTGCTCCTTTGTTCTGTTTATAATTTGGCTATGCCAGATTTTGACTGAACTCAATTCTGAATTTGAACTTTGAATTGTAATAATCTAGAACTAGAGCCCTTAGTGTTAGGAGCTGTTGCCTTATTACTCGTATTATATTCTCTCGGTTTAGAACAAATTCAGCAATATGAAATATGCGCGTTATTTTCATGGACTTGTATTCGCAAGCGTGAAATAGTTCGGCAATCGTGGGTTCTGAGATGCAGATGATGAGCTCCACGTAAATCTCAAGTTACTCTGATCTCGAAACTTTTTGTGAACCTCGTCTTGCAGTCGTACAGAGTCTGACGGCATACATTGGGTTCGGAAGCATTGACACGGACAGGGCAGTGACTTTAGAACGGACGTCTAAACTAAACGAGTCTTGGAAATGGGTAAATCCAACCTGCGTTGGGTAGACAGGACCGTAGAGCGCGTAGGGCGGCAAATGGGAGGCTGGTATGCCCCCTAGAGGGGGGGCCATCAAGGGATATCGCCCCCCTAGACTGGGGCTCCCCCACCCCCCAGCCTGTGTTAGAGTTATCTTATAGTTATCTCTAGATCTCCGCTCCTTTCAGTTATCATTTAGCTCTTGTAAATTTTTAGAGGCTTCGAATTTTGAACTTTTTTGTTACCTCGTGCTTTACTTCTGTTATAGACGCGTTTCAAGTAATTTCGTTCGATAATGCGCGGATCTTCATATTTTTTCAGCTGTCTTGGCTATACTTTGTATAAATTTTCATCAACTGATTATTTTCTTATCTTACTCTAAGCACACAAGGTCACTTCTCCGTATTTTATTTGAATGATATAATTTATGAAGTAAAAAACTAGTCAGAACATTAAAATGGTGTATTCGCATCTTTTAATGAATTTGTGTAACCATTTTGCTTCAGGTTTTTAACCAGGCAATGTGAGCTAAAGAAATTTACTGTAAAGCCTGTAAGGCTGTGTACATTAATTCGACCTAGGATTTACGTCTTTAGCGCAGGACAAGTCTCAGCCCATGGAGTGGATGGACGCCTCGATTTCAACAAATTATTTTGTACATAATTAATTGGTTTTAAGATTTTTGGCGTCAAAATCACCCACCAGCCTGATCTTTGTCTAAAGATTTAAACAGATGTCGCACAAGTAATTATTAATACGAAAAAATACATGAAATGTACGTTGAACTGCTCTTTGAATTATGAAGCGTCGCGTCCGAGCATAAATCATTAAGTGAAGTAACAAACAGGCAACAGCATGGGCTGGTACCTAGTGGCAATTGTAAATTTTTTTTTGAAATCAGTGACCTACAGTTTACTTTTTTAATAACTTCAGTCTGGAGCTGGCGGTTAAGCAAAATTTGCACATTTCCTTAGTTCAGTTCGAACATAATGGTTTTCATAATGGGTTTCAGACTGAAATTAGTGGCAATGAAATAATTTGGCGGATATGGGATCAAAATGTAACAGCTTCTCCTAAAATATGTTCTTTCTCAATTGTTTAGAAAACGAACTTACTAGAGGGGCGACTGTAGCAGTCTGCGCGGCTCGCATTTCTGGAGGAATGGTGTCGGGATGAGGTGGAGGCGGAGGACAGGACTTCAATCTGGGGTCTTCCCATGTCGTCTGCTTCGTGGTATTGTCGATGAAGTAACTGGTGAGAAAAATATCATTCAATTTATTGCTTGTGTTACATTAAAGTATGATTATTTTGAACCTAGTAAATTGTAGTTGTTGTGTAAAATTAGTTTCCTTGTGTAATGATATTTTTCGTGAGCACGAAGCCATGAGCTATAGGGTGTACTGATATCAACGTTGCATTATCTTTGACTTAGTTAAATCCAAACAAGATGCATTCTTTGAGACTTGAAGAATTTGAAGCATACATGATTATTTTAATTATTCTCTGGATGAGCGGCTGAGATTACTTACCAAAAAGAATTCCTTACGCCAGTTCGTAATTAGTACATTTTGAGCTAAAAGGAAATGACTATTCAGTTTACGGAAACTTTTTCAAATGCAATTAAAAATTTCTCTTTTTTTTCTGTCAACCTTTTATATATATGTTCCTAATGTTTGTGTGTGTGTGTGCTTGAAGCTTATCATCGCAAATATATAGTCTGTTAGGCGCGTATCCACTTATGGCGTCGCGATATTACTTGGGCTTGAAAATATATTCTTAGTTGGAGAATACCAAGGCATTACAAAACTGGCAGGAACGAATTGGTTAGAAATAAAATTTTTTTTGATTGCTGGATTTATTATTATTTTTGAAATTAGTTAAATTTTTCATACACTGTGAAGTAAAAGTTGAATTAATTATGGGATCTACACAAAATTTGGGTTTGAACGATTCTTCCTTTAATTAGCCCACATTGACATTGTTATTTTTACGGTATTCGTGATAGTGGGATTCTAAAATTACAGGGATTATTGAACGCGAGTAACATCGAGCCAACCAGCCAGTAACTAATAAATATCTAGAGAACACGCATGTGATGATCATAATTATTTACTAAAAATAATCAGAATCATTCAATTGCTGAATTACATTTATTATTGTTTCGTACCCGGAGAATAACTTTGGGATTGTCGAACATAATTTCCGTATTAACGCGCAAAGAGCTGTGCTCTTTTGATTGTTCTCGAATTTTATCGCCATTACAAGAGGAAGAGGACGGATTCTCCGCCCTCTGTCGTGAACTACACATAATTTGCTCCGCAATTTCTCAGTTTTGCGCAATCAGATATTTGTACGATTGTCCTGATGTGACGATAACTTGCGTTGTTTCGTAGCATACTTGATATAAATACAGTACTGTAATGTTTTCGTCCATCCGCGTTTATTTATTTGTTTCTGAGCCTTCATTAATTCATTAAGGTTAGCAGCGACGTCTCTGGATCCTTCGAATTGACGCCACGTCAACTCGGGGGTAACAGGAAACCGAACTTTGACATCGTCAGATGGCAATTTTTAGTAAATTTCGGTATTTTCGATGATAGAGTATTAACTATGTATATTTCTATTGCTTTAGAATGATAAGCAAGCGTTCCTTGACGCCGTGCTTCATCGCCAAGGACTTTTATCCTTACATCGTCATCACCTTCACGGTTTAACCCAACCACGTCGCCATCACCACACCACCATCACCATAATATCATCACCACATCACCACCACCGTCATCACCACGACCACAACCACCAAAACCCCACCGCCACCACACCATCACCACCACCATCAACATCATCACCACGACCACAACCACCCAAACCCCACCGCCACCACACCATCACCACCACCACCACGATCACCACTACCACCACCATCACCACCGCCACCACACCATCACCACCACCCCGGCAGATGCTCCTCTCAATGAAGGCACCGCGGACGCCCCAAGCGTCGAGCGCGCATCTCTCAGGCGTCGATCAATATGGCGTCTCTGTCAAGATTTTGACAAAAAATTTCCAATGCGCCCAAGATGGAGATCATTTCGATCTGTCATCTCTCGTTGACGATTGATTTTGTGAAGGTGATGGATCGCGATTGGTTGACATGCCTACGAAATTTGCCAGGGCTTTATTGTAACGCATTTATTCACATCATCGTTGCACCGATGGAAACGTTTCTTCCACTTCCAACGTTTGCGATTCCTTCGGAGCGTCTCTTTAATGTGGATGGAAACGCCGCCGGGGCGATATTTCCTGCCATTTACATCAAATTTACGGCCGTTCCTCGCATAGCATTGAATTTCAGACTTTGAAAGCAACCACTCGCGAGATGCTAGCAGCTCCATGGACCTACGGTTACTATATATAGTTGATCTGGAAAGATGTATCGCTCATGATATATGTAAGAAGTTTGATTAATTTGAATCATTTTCGTTCGAACTCAATTGAACAAAAACCAGATCCTCGGTTTGTGTTGATATTTTTCGTCAAAAAAGCACGGGGTTTGCGAGATCTGAAATATATATTATACATAGACGCTTTTTTACTAGTAATAATATTTTCAACACTTCGAATAAAAAATTAACTTATTTTTGAGCTTCCGTCGTGGATTTGAAAAAGAATTTTGTCACGATGATTCTCTGTTCTATCAAAAAATTTCAAATTTTTATCTAAAATACTCGCTTTTTTAAAGTTATTTTTTCTTTTTTCATCAGTCATATAATTTGGGAACTTTCCAATTGTTTTGTCTGCACACGAGTGTTTAGTCTATTATAACATAGAACTTAGCCAAACTATATAGTATTTTTTTCCAGGGCCGCGAACTCATTTTTGATTGATTTTTTTCTTGGAATTCGAAAGTCTTGGAAATAATTTTACTGACGTCTTTGAATAACACTGCGTACAAAATCACGGGGCGTGATCAACTTCTTTCTCTTGTAACGCCCGCTATTAAGTTTAACTTATCTATTTTATTAAACTTACTATCTCCCAGTCTTGAAGTCAAATTTGGCGTCCCATCCAGGCGGCAGACCTTGGAAACATTCCCATCTTCCAGCCATCATCTTCTTGTGGAGGCCAGTACCTCAGTACTTCCTCTAAATTGGTCAACTGCTCGACAAAAAAGTTATAATTTGCATCAATTTTGTATGGAAAATTGGATAACGTTCACCCCGACCAAGCCACCTCACTAGCAGACGACACGGCGTCAGAGGAGGCACTGGCCAGATGGTAGGACGCCCAACGTTGCCGTGACCTCTGTAAGATCATGTAGTTTCCATCATGAAAATAATCTCCTACCGAATCTTTTGAAAGGGGCTACGGACAATTATTCGGATGGTACATTATTCTTTAAATAAAAGTAGCTTGAACTGAAGAGAACGAGTGTAATTTGCAATGACTGGCCCGTGCTTCTGAGCTTGCGCACTGGCCAGCATCTCCGCGTGCGCAGTGAAGCTCTGCGGCGCATCGCAGGGCTTCCCTCCGATTGCTCTCTACCAGCGTGCTCGTGATCCTCGTGCTCGTGCTCCTGCGTGCATATGCTCCAGCAAGCGAGTGCTCAGGTGTGCACGTGCTCGTGCTGCAGTGAGTCATGAAACTTTCTGGCCCTCAAGCCCTCTTGCTCCATAGTTTTCTAGCTCCCAAGCGCTGCTGCTCCATAGCTTTCTGGCTCCCAAGCCCTCCTGCTATCCAGTTCTCTGACTCTCAAGCGCTCCTGCTACACAGGTCTCTGACTCTCAAGCCCTCTTGCTCCGCAGGTCTCTGGCTGTCAAGCCTTCCTGCTTCACAGTTCTCTGGCTTTCAAGCTCCACAGCTGATGAATCATCAATCATATGCCTCGAGCTAGGAGTTCCTGCTCTCGAAGTTAAGTCTATAAAATGATGTCGATTATGATTGATTTGTCACTAGTATTTATTCAAAACTGATTTTCAATGATCTATATGTAATAATTGAGTTAATATTTCCGGCAGTCCTCGAACAGGGGATCAACCTTATATTTTCGCTGATCGTAAAATTTATTGTCATTTTTAAATGCTCTCCTAACATCTACTGGAATATAAAAAGTGGAATATATATAGATTTGAAAGCTTTTTTTGTAAGTTTTTCTTGTCTCCATTTTTTTCCATCTGACTTCGGTTAAACAATATCTACCATACAGGTGGCAGCATCATTCCCTGCATCTAAATACTCTTATGATTCAGTCATTTCGACTTTGACCGCCAACGGTCAATTGGTCCGGATTTGTTATGATCGTATATAGTTGATGTCTTTGCGATGCGTGGCGACGTAGTCGTGGAGTTCAGGGTAAGTTTTATTCACAGCTTTTAAACGGACCAATTAAGTTTAGTACTAGGGTAACATGGAGCAAAGGGACCACTGCGGGTCATGGGCCCATAGCGGATTTCCCGCTAAGTATGGCAGATATAGGCCCGTGCGCTCAACCGTCGGTCGACAGTTTCAGTCTGTTTCATAAGAGTGCAGTGTGCGTCTCTAAGTTGTATTGCTGGCCTGCGTTTGTAAGTTATTTGCGATTATCCATTTAGCCTAAATTAAAGTTTTTTTTGCAGCTAATAAAACAGATTCTGATCACTATAATTGAAGCTATTCAAAGTACTGTAAATTATATTTTGAAAGTAATGTTATTAGGATAATTTTTAGTTTTAGATTAGACTATTAACTTTAAAAATGAAATGTTGACTCGAGTTAACTTAAATGCTACCTAGCGAGGCAACGAACCCAGCGTGCCTACGGGGCTAAGCGCCCATGAATGGTGGGCTCATAACCCCAAAGTCGAGTGTTGCGTTTTACATCTTTGCATTTGTTTCAATGAGCTCTATAAAATATGACTAGCTTTTTCAATTACAAATTATATATTAAATTGTAAGATTTTGTAATTTGCCGCCTCAAGGCAGCAGCTTATAGTCATTAAATATTTATTGATTTTTAACTTTCTTGTGCTGTTGCAGCATTGCGTGTAACCAGAGGTGGGCAGTAGCGCGCTACATGTAGCGGCCGCTACATTTTCGGGAGCGGTAGCAGCGCTACAATCTAGTGGGTGTAGCGGTAGCGGTAGCGGCCGCTACATTTCAAAGAAGCGCTGCCCAGCTCTGCGTGTAACTATAACAGGAAAACCAATATAGGCAACTATACTGAAACTGAACTCCAGAATGCTTTGCAGGAAATTAAGAAAACAACTCTGCTGGAGATATTAGGATGATTTCAAACCTGGAAGACGAATGTCTATTTATGAAGTAGCCAGCATTGTTGGAGATGCTGATCTTAGAACTGCTATTCCAAAGAGCGGTGTAAATGGCCTCAAAGTGACAGGAATAGGGCCTTGTAGTAAAGACTTCTTTACTGACGAAAACTTCTTGGCAACAGAGTAGATCGAAGAGGCAAGGCCACCAAACGTGCAAAGCTCTAAGCAGGAAATCAACGTCAGAAATGAAGTCGCTCTAGTGCTTCACGACAACGCGGTGCTCTCAACTTTGGATGAAATCATTAGTAAGATTATTATTAGATTGGGAGTTACCCCTCTTAAAATATCAACTAAAAGAACAAGGACTCGAAAATGTGAAAAGGCAACACACCTTACCGTCAAAAACTTTCACATAAAGGAAAGTGCATTCAAGATATGAAAAGGAAAGCAAAAATAAGTTGAGAGCATCCGCTGATCCGCGTCCTGCAGTCGCCGAATCCACCACGATGATATTCAGAAGACGATGAATGGCCATGCTTGGCATGCGGGGAGCCGTTGCAGTTCTCGGGAGAAATGGATCCACTGCATGGCGTGCTCGAAATGAGCTCATTTGGACTACAAAATGTAGTCGGATGTATATTTGTCACAACTGTAATAGCGAAACTGATCAATGATGAAGAATATATTTTTTCACTAGCAAGTGGATGAACTGTATGCTATTCGCAGAATTAGTTGTTTTCTATACTCGAAATATTTTCCTGGTCAATGAAATATTTTTTCAGTCAGAAATAGATTTTTTCAAGCTGAGAATATATTTTTGTAAAGTTGGGGATAAACTTCTTCAAGATGCAATGGGCCCTTTCTGACACTTTTTAGAAAATAATTTTTCATTAAGAATTGAATAAATCTACAGCCGTCCAATTCACATCATACATTCTTTATTAGTTGTTATTTTAAAACCAAACAGCAGCAACCTTGTATCAATTAAAGTTTTATAAAAATATTCAGTTTAAAGAAAAGGGTGGGTCCGCTGCCCCATGTTACACTTTAATTCCAAAAGGATTTTGCTCGTGTGCGAATCGAGTGCTGATCGAAAATTTAACTACACAGTAAGAAGGAACCGCTGTTAGCTAATTACAATAAGGAAAAACAAACGAACGGGATAAGTCATCCTTTGTTCATTAATTACCTCATTTACAATATGTACACATGTAACAAACATCAGGTTTTGCACAGAATTTTCACAAGAACTCCGTAAGGATAGGTGTAAAATACCATCTAAGTTTGAACAGCGCTTCTATAATAAATACTTTATATAGGCCTCGGTAGAGACCGAGATCAAATATATGTGGAACCTCAAAGCCATACTTAAACACAAAGCTTTATGGGGTCCAGACAGGAGTCCTGTACCAGTGACAACATTGCTTGTGAGGATCAACATGCAACAAAAATTAATCAACGTGGTTGATGGAACATTTTTGCCTCGTGGTCGACAACAAGAAATAATCAGACTTTCAGAAAAAGTTTCTAAGTTTTGACTAAAATCGAATTCTTAATTTTTTTTTTCAACATTAAAAAGCATTCTAAACTTGCTCTTGCCTGTTGCTCTCAAGCTACGTGTACAAATATTCGAATGTTTCGGGATATTAACGATTTTATGATTTAAAATTTGATGTCGGATAAGCGGACAATTAAAAGCTTGCAACTAAACTAAACAATAGATTTTACTTCTAATACCAGAAATTACATGTTTGAGCAATAATAACGTGATTCAACTACTCAACTATTGAAATTTGCACAATGTTGCTCGTTGAAGTTTTTTGGCTCTAGAATTTGAGAATTGATACGAATATAAAAAATTAATACGATAAAAATGGCATTAAAGAAATGTATTGGTTTAGAAGCTAACAGAAACAATATCAGAAGAAATGAGGGCATATTTCCACACTGATTATTATTTTTTTAATAGGCATCGAATACTGAATAGTAAGCAACCACAAATCTAGGCGCATCATAGAAAGGGTACACCAATTTGTTCTGACTGTAACTAGAGTGTGGCATGCCCAACTATATTGAACTGTAATTCGTATTGGTCAATGTTACGCATTTTGACTCAGAGCAAGAGTTAGCGCAGCCCAATGTTATGTATTTGATTGAGCAGAGTTTGTTTGACCAAATATAGGTAACGCATATCCCAGTGTACAACGGAAGACAACTCCTACCATTTGCTACGACGACACGTTGTTGTGATCAAATTATTACAAAATTTAACCAAAAAACTGATGCAGAAGTAAATTTTGTGATCAATTATAATTGTAAATAAATTTAAAATTGCAAGATTGGTAATTTTAATTTAGTATCCCAAACAATCCATTAACAAAATTATTAACCAGTCTAAATTTATAAAAATTAAATATCTTAACGCGTAATTCAATAGACCGAGGGTCGATATGTATATAAAAACATAATTTCATCACACTAATTGCCTTACAAATATTGTTAAAATAGTCTGTCATGGATATATAGAGAAAATATGACTTAACAAATTCCTGTACAATTCAGCGAGATTCAGAACACATGTAAGCCAATAGGTAAGTAAAGCTCCAGAAATTGTCGGACTTTCGAATCACTAATGACTGAATAAAACATTTGTCTTTGTGTTAATGTCTGAAATTTGAGTAATTTAGTTTCCTAACACACACCCGATTGCTCGAATTCCCAAAGATCATTTTCCATTGATTTAAATTAATTCACGATTTAAAATATATTAGCGGCGTTATTTATAGCGTTCGTTTGTAAGCCTCGTGGGAGAGGAAACGATTGGTAAGTAATTTGGCCATTCATAGGATAGCCAAGCAAGGAACACGACATCATTACCATTTCCCACACCGACCGCAGCGTGAACTAGCGTGTCCTGAAGCTGATTTTCATGGAAAACCTAGCATGATCAAAGCTGTTCTTTCCTGACTCGCAAGTAATGCGCAGCGTTGCACAGATCGCTGCTATAAAATAACTAGCGTCTTTTGCTTCATCTTAGAGATCATTGCTTAACTTCGAACCGAGTCGTTTCCTGGGCACTTTGTTTCTATCTCTAGAGATAAAACAACTAATTTGATCAGAACACGTGACATGGGAAATTTTTTACGATGGATCATTTTCTAATCAAGTTAGGACATGAGTGCAAAAATTGTCATGGCAGGGAAAGGAGTGAAATGATAGGACGTGAGCGACACTAGTCAAAACTAATCGATAATAGGAACAATATTTTACCATGCACTCACAGGCGACGTCATCAAAACCTGGCCAAAACACCACCTAATTCTTAAAAATAAGAAATAAACTGACAATTGCACCAAATAAAATTTTCAGGTGGAGGAGTAGTAGAGAGTCTCAATTAAATAATTAGTTGAGATTAAATAATTTTGTCAATTAGTTAATTTAAAATTAATTTTGGTATAATGGGATTGTGTGCTATTCTTTTCTCATCAATGGAGTCTATAGCTGTAAAAGAGGGAAACTTGAAAAACCACCTCTACACTACAAGTCTTACTATTTCAACATCTGCATCCACTCATTTTAAACCAATGATTTTAATTTATCTAATTCGAAACAACTTTAAGAATCAATAATACTGTGTGATTATCAAATTATTTCACTATTATGAATAATACTACAAATAATCCATTTGTTTACTTATAAGGGCGTTTTCTCTTAATCCTTCATATGAGACAATACTTTCTTTTAATCCCTAAGTTTGACATAAACTCTTTGTGATGCTGCATAGTGAAGTGAATATATTAGGAGAGTTACGGCGAGCAGGCTGCCTGCTTGCCACTCAACGACGTCTTCATTATCAATACGGACTCTGATAAGTAATGGCGCTCAATAAATAACGGATGCAAACTGTACATCAATGAGTACGCACGACTTTTGCATCAGTAATAATAATAGTAATATTACTTACAAAATATACGCTATTGGCTTCACAAATCAATGGCAGAACGCAAGGAGCTGTACACTATCAACAACTTACACCGCACCAATAATAATAGGCAGTTCCTTAACTCCATAATCGCTTATCTTTACGAGAAGGAATGCGACTTATGCTTACAACTTCCTGGACGCACACTAAATTATTCTCAAATACAATACTGTGTGTCTCAATAATACGGAATTGTTAACAATGCTTATCCTACTCATTTTAATGATATATTTACATACGTTAGATATATAGGACGAGGGATCTAATTATGTTCTTCTAATAATGACGCGAAATCCTGCGGAGCATTAAAAAAGCTATTAATATCTAGATGCTCTATTTGTTGCTGGGGATTACTAGGGTTGTTTTTATTGGCGTTGGCGTTAGCAGTGTTCGTGTGGGAGGAAGAGTTAGCGGTGGTGGTGGATGTAGAGTTAGAGTTGCATGAGGGAGGGTTAGGAGTGAGTGGCTGAGAGATCCTACCGGTACTCGGAGGTCGCTGTTGTTGCTGACCATTAGAGGCGTTATTATTGTTATTATTAGAGGCTAAACTAGCACATGGAGTAGGAGTGCTCGACTTATTGAGGGAGTTATTATTAGGGACGCCAGCCATAGAAGTGGCAGGGTTAGAGCGAGAAGAACCAATTGTTGTGGGGACTAAATCGTTCATCATATTGGGGGTAGTCCCTCCAGGGGCGGAGTAACCCATGCTGGGGTTACTTAGGGGTCTACCAGGCCCTCCCATGGTCGCGGGGGAGCGCGGGTGTTGCATCATGGCGGCTGGGGAGCGTGGGTGACTCATACCACCCATGCTGGCGGGGCTATGGGCCTGACTCCCCATACCAGCCATGCTAGCAGGACTTGAGCCACCCATGTTACCCATGTTGGCAGGACTCATGGGATGACTTTGTCCTCCGTTCATTTGTACCATTCCTGCAGGACTTCTGGCACTAGGTATGCCTCCTACGACGCCTGAATTCCTTCCTGGCCCCGCACCCATCATGTGGGGACCAGAGGCACCCTGCATCTGGCCCGGTGGCACCATGGAGCCTGATGCTCCTTGGAGCGGCATCTGGGCCATGCTGCCCATTGGCGTCCCTGGAGCGGGGTATTGTGATGTGACTTGCGCTCCGCCCATGCCGCCGCTCTGGCTCATTTGCAGTCCCATCCGCACCTGCGGAATAAAGAAACATTAGAAACACGTCTACACGGAACCGTCTATCTTGTGAAAGGTCAAGAAAATTAGGCCGTAAAACCACTTAAAGATTTATTGTTACGGATTTATATGATGGAAAATAGAAATTTGATGCCCTAACGCTCGTGTTTTCGTATTCACAGAGAAATAATTTTCTTTCATATTAGTAACTGGAGGTTTCTTAGAATATCCAGATAATCGTTTTCTGTGGACAACTGCTGAAGTCGAAGCGGTAATGCTTGAAGATCAATGGAATACACTTCAAGAGCTGTGTGAAAAAATTCCTGAGGTCAGCAAAACCACAATTGACGAGATTTTCTCTGAAGATTTAGGCTGTCCAAAGGTCTGCGCAAGATGGGTGCCAAAAATGCTCACAGCAGACCACTAGCCACACGTGTCTGAAGCGGCCCAAGAATTTCTCGCTTTTAACGGAACAAACGAAGAGGAATTTCTGGATTTTGTTGTTACTGGTGACGATCCTTGGTCCCTGATCCATCTGTGTACCACCCCGGAGCTACACTCTTCTCCATACACTTGACAAAGTTCTTCGCGAATCCTTCGCCGACTTCTTCTCAGCGGCCAGGAAACGAATAACAGACCGAAAGTCGCAGCTGGTTCGAGACGCAAGAGAACACTCCTTCCCTGACGCCTGTTGAGGCAAGACTAAACGTTGCAGAGTGCAGACACGCTGGCTTGGAGTTGGAGAAGCAAACAACCTGCCTCTCTTGCGTTGCCCGGTGCCCCGCATAGAAACGATCCTAGCGCCAGCAGCAGTCCGTGGAACTTATTGTACGGACACGTCTCGTAAGTCACGTTTTCTTTTATATTACATTATAGCGTGTGAATTCCGTCGATTGGCGTTTGAGATTACAGGAACAACTCTATATAAGCGAAAAAAACTTTTCTTTTGCGGCAAATTCGTTTGAAAAGCTTACTAAAACTAAAGCGAATTACAGCCAAGGCTTAATAAGAACCAGAACTTTTTGATGCTCGTGACATTCATTTCTTGGGCTATGCAGCTGCATACAAGGGAATTTTCACGCTTTCAGTAAATGTATTCAGTATACGACTCAGAATACATCATCTTAACTTTTTTAGAGCTCAGAGTACATCATGTTTCTTCCTACTATTCCGTAGTTGGACTTAACGTAAAAAAAGTACTGATTAGGCACAAATCTTCTTGTACTCGTGTATTATTCCACCCATTTTCCGTGTTTTTTTTTTCGTTTTGGCCGTTGATTTTACGACGCTTCGATGTTTTTTCCGGATATGAACAACAGGGTTAAAACGCAGTAAAGACAGTGGGAAATAAAAACGAGCCTACTTAATATATTTATTTACAAGCTAAAACAACACCCGCCAACATGATTTGTTGCACATGGAAAAGGATTGCAAATCAAAGATACAAAACCAGAAAAAAATCAATTCCTTCTGGTTTTCACTTTGATTGATACAAATGTCATAGGGGACCAAGTACGTTTTCAGCATCGAACACACGATGTTTGCTGCTCAATCTATGGAAATTTTTCTGTTTAATTTGAAAATTTATTTCAAACTCTAGAACCCACAGAAAACCTAGAACTGATTTTTGTTCTGCAGCTACCAGGCAGTTATTTAATCCTTCGTCTCCTGACGGTAGAGAACTCTGGTGATAAGGCCTTTAGATGCAGCAAGCATTGAACACTGTTATGGTGGTCATAGACAAGCGGTTAAGGCTCATTTTGAGTGCTCGTCTGTCGTCTCTGCTCCTAAGGCTTAGCTTCACTAACATTCAACTCCACCAGCAAATGAAATAAAGTCCAGTGTAATATTCTGAAAATATAAAGCTAGTTATTACTTATGTCTGCAAATGAATAACTTAATTTGCAAGAGAAAGACGTTTACTCATCACCACCATTCTAGTAGCAACACTCCAGAACCCGTTTGCACAGACTCGTGTTTATTAGTAGAATAACTCCTAATTATGTTAGCAGAAGAACTCCTAATTATGTTAGTTGAAGAACTCCTAAGGAACAAACTCGGAATCAGATAATGAGCCACAGCCTAAAGCACTGGCCATCAAAGTCACTTAAATAACAATAAAAATGTCGCTAAAATCACGGTACATTCTACACTGGTAAAATCTCTGCATAATCTTACTATTTAACAATGAATTTCCTGCGGATTTTAATTTCTAAACTTAGACAACAAATTAGTAATGTTAATAAAATGTCAGCATTTGTAAAAGTATGAACAAGCACCAATGATGCTCGTCATTTTTGTCAAGATGGAACTGAAGCGCGGCTACAGAACTATTGCTTAATGAGGACGGAAGTCGTAAACTTATTAACTATGCTTCAGAACTATTGCTTAATGAGGGCATGCGTCGTAAACTTATTAACTATGCTTAAGAACTATTGCTTAATGAGGACGGGAGTCGTAAACTTATTAACTATATCAGGGTTGGTAAAGGGAAATTCAGTAGTAAAAATGTTCCTATGCTATGGATGACCTCACATATTGGATTCAAATCTTAGGACAAGAGGATTCAAACGTGCAGCCTCCACATGCTGTTAACTTTAGTCATTTGAGTACGAGGCAACCGCATAGCATGAGGGAAAGAAGGGGTCAATTTGTTTTCTTACATTTCTAGAAGGCTGTCAATCAATTGTTCATCTGTGCAAACGGGTCCTTGAGTGTTGTTACTAGAATGGGCCGGTGCTACATGACCGTTAGTTGCCCAAGTACTCGTAGGCTCGACCCCATCATATAGAAAGTCCAACAGCTCTCTTATGCGCTCTCCTTTGTCTTCACTTTGGTCACAAGATGAAGCTAAATTATTAGCGCAGACCATTTCAGGCCTCGTAGGACGGCTTGTGCCTTGTGGCACTAATGAATCGCGGTCCTACTGAACACCAGCAATGATCGGTCTAATAAGTGTAGACATCATTTGAACACCATTAGCATGAAATTGAATACGTCCCATTCCAGAGCAGGACTGTGGCAAACTCATTGCAATCAAGCTCTCAGTTGTTTCATCGCTCAAGAATCGAGGCGATAGGCTCCAAGTTCCACTGTCTGGAGACGAGTTTGGAACTGAATCTTGACTGAGATCTATAGTCGGTGGAGGATTGTTAGACAGAGAGCTAATGCTAACCAAGTTTTGCATGGAAGTAGAAGTCGGCGGAGGATGAGAAACAGAGCTAGTGCTAGCCAAGTTTTCCATGGAAGTAGCAGTCGGCGGAGGATTGCCAGAAAGAGGCACAATTTTAGTGCCTGAATTCTTTGGAGGTCGACCTCTCTTCCTGCGAATTTGCGCCGTTCCGAGCTGAGGGGAATTTTTGTTCTTCCTAGACCCTTTCTTCACCGCCGGACTTGGAGTAAAATTCACACCATGAGCCGCCGTATAGCCATATTGGTTGATATGGTAAGGATAGTTGACATTCCGGGCGATAACATGAAAGCTCACCTGCCCTGGAGCCAAAGCTCCTGGCATGCCGGCTATTCTGGATGTAGGATTCATTCCAGGGCCTTGCATGCCAGATGCCATGCCGGGCTGCATGGGGCCAGCCATGCCGGGCTGCATGGGACCAGCCATGCCAGGTGCCATGGGACCTCCCATACCAGGCTGCATCGCCGCCATATTGCCTTGCATGTTGGCAGACATGCCCGGCCCTGCCATCATTGGCATCATCTGAGAAGGATTTCTTGCCATGCCCATCATCTGAGAGTTTTGTCCCATCATGCCAGCTGCACAAATAAAAGGCGGTCAGTACCAACTATATCGGATTATAATGAGCTATATTAATCAAAAACACAAAGAAAAGTGTCGTGCAGAACCAAATAACAATTAATTTCACAAAAGAATTAGAAATATGACAAAAAACCTAGAAATGCTGGACAAATCTGGAAGGTGCTGGAATGTTTATAATAATAAGAGTATTAAAACGTAAAATTTGCTCCACGTAACATCGAGTAGGATGTTGAAATATTGTAAACTTACTTGCATTGCTAGGCATAGAAACAAAATAAATAAGATAAATAAGAGTGTACTATGCTCTTAGCTTGGACAAAAATTTAGGAGCGAATTTGAAGTCTATAATTTAAAAGGCATATTAGAGACTTGATGACACAAAGTCTGCTAAAAAACACATTACGTAGTCGTCATAAGTATTTAACAAATGACATTTTCAAACGAAAAACTTAAATTAGTAATTTTTATACAGAGATAGTAAATGCCAATATTAGCTAACCAGTAAGAAATACTTCCGCATTGTAATTCAACCTTGGCTGAAGAGTACTAGCCTTGCTGCTGCTGATGATGTGGATGGCTGGGATACCCTGATGGCCGCATCATCATGCCAGTCTGGCCGCGCTGCATCATCATGTTGCTCCACTCGGGTCGGCCTGACTGCATCTGGGGTACGAGGCCCCCTGGACCGACGTTGACATTAGGGGGGCAGGAGCGTTGATGTTGCTGCATCATGGCGGCGCGGCTCGCGACCGAACATTGACCGCCCACGTTGGAGTGGACGGCAGACATGCCGCCTGCTGATGTCATGGTGCACGCCATGGAAGAAGCTGGGCACATCGATGTCATTGCAAGAGACGTCGCGAGACTTGTGCTGGGGGCAGTTGAAGAAACAGTGCCTACAGCCCCTCCTGGTTTCATGGAAGGTAGACTTGGAGGCAGACTTTGCTGCTGCTGAACCATGCCACTTGCATTTGATGTAGGACCTCCAGCACCCAGCATCGACGACGGTACAGCTCCCGTGGGGGTACCATTGCCCAAGTTAACCATGTTACCTCCAGCCATGCCAGGTCGGAGCCCCGGCCTCATGTTGCCATAAACCATCTGGCCCATACCTGGCCCCATGGCCTGGGGCATCGGTTGGGCCATCATCTGCTGCTGTTGTTGCTGCATGATATTAGTAGCGTGGCGGTATTCAGGAGGTGGAGGTCGTGTCATCATCTGGCCATTTTGGCTCATCATTAAGCTGTGTTGACCTGGAGTCATGGCACGCATCATGGACGGACCCATCATTTGGTTGGGGTACCTTGGAGGCTGGGACTGGCCCATGCCAGAAAATTGTGCAGGGTAATACATTTCTTGGGACATCTTGCCATCCGCACTCATCGACGGAACCATCTGCGCACACAAAAATTAGAAATCAGTCAACTGCTGGAAACTTGCGATTTAAATTATTATAAATGTAGTCTGTTACTTATATAAATTATTATGTCTTGAGTAAAATCATTTATATGAATGTTTCATATTTCATATTTAATGTTAATACATGGCAAATATGTAGTATTAGTGGTATCTGGGAACATCAAAGTGATTCTCGATGACAAAAATTTGAGAAACATTAATTTGAAGAAATAGCAAGATTTCATACCTCTAAAATTGTTTTGCTCATTTCACTTTGAAGAAATACTTGGGAAAGATTGAGGTATACAAATAAATTCAGAATTTAAAAAATATTTTCAAATCAAGAAGAGAATCTGATTAGCAATGAAATTTGCATTCTTAGTCAACACTTAAAATGTACCTACTGCACAACTTTGGCTGATAAAGTTCAATGTTACAAGGACTACGGTACTTTCAAATGCATTACATGCAAAACAAATTGAATTGAAATGGAAGGGGGTTCAAAATAATTGCAAGAGAAGGGATATAATACCTGTGCTCCTGGTGAGAGTGATGATGGTCGGTGATAGGCTGGTCGCACACCACTTGGTCCTCTCATGGGCATGGCTCCATACTGCCCCATGGCACCTGCCCCAGGCTGGCCTCCATAGCTCGCCATGGGTGACATTCTTGAGAAGCCTCCTTGCATCCCGCCCATCATTGCAGCTGGTCCTCCTGCAGCACTTTGTTGCATTGACATCATCTGTTGCATGTGCGGCATCTGATGGTGTTGTTGCATGGAGTTCATGTCGCCAGAGGAGACATTAACCATACCATTAGTATTTGTAACAGGGCCGACATTGGACTGAGCATGAGCTTGATTTTGCTGTGGGCCATTAGCTTGAGTTCCGTTACCAAGTTGAGGCTGGAGGCCAGTTTGTTGCTGGGGAAGCTGCTGGTGAGGAACTATTTGTGGGTTCATTTGGCCTTGGAGCATATGCGAGGGGGTGGGTGCTTTTGGCAAAGTGTGCGGAGTTGTGGTTTGAGTAACCATGACTGAAGAGTTACTACCTCCTATATTCGACATTTGAGAACTTTGACTAGAGGGTATTGATAGCGCCGATTGCTGCTGCTGCTGCTGTTGAAGATGATGCGGCATACTTGAAGCTGTAGATATTGAGATTGCTTGCTGTGGATGCATGTTAGCTTGACCATGTTGAGGTTGCTGCATTTGCATACCAGAATTATTTAGCTGTATCTGCATTTGTTGCTGCTGATGTAACATCTGTCTTTTCTTCAGGTCCATTTCATTCATTGATGATGGATTCTGTGTGTTATACATGGAATTCATGTTTGAATTCATTCCTTGGGCATACATAGGATGATTAGGAACATTTTGCCTAATAGCTTGTGAATTTGTGACAGAAAAAGGTACGAAATCATTGAAGCCTTGAGCACGACCTGGTCCAACGACAGGGCCGATTTGCTGCTTCTGATGAACTTGGGCCATATTTTTTAGAGTGGTTGCAGCAGGGCTGTCACCAGCTTGAGGAGGCAAGCCCGGCATGACAGTAGGTATTCCTCCAACATGGACTTTAGACATCGACGACGGAGTATTTTGAAAAGGACCAGGAGAGCTCGTAGACGTTTGTACTGTAGAAGATGTGGGAAACTGTGAAGCTTGGCTCAAAGCCTGAGGATTACTATAACCCTGTTGGAAGGAGGCAGGAGATGGGACGGAACTTGGTGGATTGCTTGTTGCAGTCATTGTTTGTGATTGTGGCATTCTTATTGTGGTAGTAGGTTCCTGCTGCTGTTGAGATAGTTGCTGCAACATGCTGGGACTGGTGCTGCTGTTTGTCAAAACACCCACAGTTCCACCATCACTGCTGACACTAGTGGCCTCTCCGTTCTCAAGAACCAAACTAAAGGGATCACAGTCGTTACCTAATGAAAAGCCAGAGGCATTGCTGTTTTCTGGGCGAACATCACTCATGTCAAGGTCTTCGCTTTGGATCAAGTCAAAATCTATGTCACGGAACGCATCTTCAAAGGACTCGAGATCTTCAATATCAAACTCTTCCTTTTTAACATCTTCAAAGAAGTTTGAAGGAAGAAGATTACCAGGAAAGCTGCTGTCCACGCTATTCACAGCAGGTACCTGGGCTAGGGGTGAATCACTTCTTTTCAAAGCATGCAGTTGCTGCACGATTTGAAATTCAGTTATGTCTACATTGGGACCATTTGAAGAATTATTTCCAGTTGAAGATGATGCAGTATTGTTGGACACAAAAGTTGCCACATTACTATTTAGGCTACTAGAGCCTGAGGTTGAGGTCGTGTTTATGATATGAGCAGGGCCTGTGAGTCTTGGTTTCTTTGCTGGGTTTTCAGGAGGGTCGTCATTTGTAGCTTCGTGGCCACGAGCCAACATTTTACTTTGCTGGAAATAAAAAAAATTCAATGAACAGTATGAAATGCCATTAATGCCAATGCAACTAAAATAACTACATTACATACCTTACCAATCATGAATGTGGATCAAGACTTCATATATCAATTCAAATATTAATCTAAGGTCTTCTACTCAGAAAAAAATACAAAAATTACTCTTTTTCTGTGTGGGTATTAGTTGATATAAATAAAATTGACATTTCTTAGAGAGTTTACCAACAGTGAGCAGCAATCTAGTTTGAAATTTATCTCCAAATAAAGCCAAAGCAACTAGCAGGTAGTGAGACAATAATATGGTGAAAACAAATGGTAATGTTACGACTGCAGATGGATCTAGAGCTCAACCCTCAATGAATAACTTGAGTAATATGTTAAAATTTTAAACCCAGAAAATTAGTTGCAGCCCATTTGATGCACAATACAAAGAATTCAAATAAATATATAACCTAATGCACACAATTGTGCGTGATAACTTACCCCCATGTTTGCTTGAGGTTGGTCTAATTTCTTTTCTTTCTTAGTTGAATTCTTCTTGGTTTTTGATTCGATGTGCCTTTGTTTCAAGGCCAGAGTCCTCTTATGTTCAGTGTCGTAAACTGCCGGAAAAGTAGCCTCAATGTGAGCAGCTATAGTGTTGTGCTCAGTTCGGTACTGGCTTATTCGACGTTTCAGGCGATCTACAACCACTTGTCGGCCTTGTTGAAACTCGGCCATAGTAGTAGCATCGAGGGGATCATTGGGTGCCTGTGCTAGGCCTGCTACATCACATGTAGAAGGACCGGCCACAGCAGGACCTGCTAGCACAGGTGATAAACACGTTGTAGATAAGGCCAGTGTAGAATAAGTGCTTGCAATCCTTTCAAATTAGCTGAGAATGTCTTCTTTTCTTCTTGTGAGATAATTCACTGGCATCAATTAGAGAAAAGCCGTGAGAATGGAATTGTGCTTTTTCAGCGGCTGAGGGTCCTGCACAGAACAACAGGAATAAATAATTTGCAACAAATAAGAGGTAACTTCATTTATCTAAGTAAAATAGAAATCGAAAGACAACTTAGTAATGAAATAGTACAAGTGAAAATCTCTGTGTCATAATTCAATAAGAAAGTTTTTTATGAATTTTATTTTCATACATGTTTTTTGGTAGTTATTATCAATTTTTTATGCTTATGTTTTTTGAAGATGTTCTTTTTAGCATTATATTTTTGATAAGTGGCTGAAAAGACAGAAATACATTAGAATACCTATTCTAGGCTAGATAATGAGAATATCATAAATTTAATTAAGATAATCTGACATTCTAAAGTAATGCATTTCAACAGCAGTTTCTCTTTACATAGCTACAGTATGAAAATATTCTGTGAAATGATTATGCCCCATTAATGAGCATAATTTCATATTAATTTGCTTCTGCATTCACATCAATTAATCAGCATCAGTGCTATCTACTTCTAGTAGTGACAGCAATATTAAATGTATGAGTGATGGCAGCAGTGATGCAGACCTACAGTTAAGTGTGAGGGCATGGGTGCTGGATGTGAATGGATGTACATACAGGGAGTGTGAGTAGAAACAATGAGTATTTTATGGTCATGTGGGTACATAATAGGATTGGATTGAAATGATTTTGGGTTCATGGAAGCTGTGACTGAGATTGCAAAGAGGTATTCAAAGAGTGCGTGGAGGCTGTGTCATAATCAGAGAAATAAATGCCAAACATATATAAACCTCATATATACCTCATATGCATGGAAAAAATGTATCTCGGGCTTTTTGGATCAATGGCACTGTTCACGTGCATGTATAATGAAGAAATTTTGCCAAATATATACCTATGTCAGCACACAAGCAGTCATTGTTGGCTGACATATTGGGTGATATCTGATACATTCCATGCCCCATAGTATCCTGGGTCCCTCAGGACGGAACAAGCCACTACTAACTATTTGAATCTTAAAACTTTCTGGATAAGATGAGACATTGATTTATGAGAAGAATATATCAACTCTGTGATGGTATTATTGCACTTGCAGGTCAATGTTCTTACATTCAGTGTTTTTGTCATCATCTGGACTATATTTTTCAATATTTTTTACAGAAAGGTAAGAGCCTAATTAACTAAAGACAGGGTATCTTCCAAAAGAAGAACATCTGCAAGGATATTTTCTTCCAGGAGAAAATAGGGATGAGATCAGCTAATTTTATAAAGGTACACCCAATGGAAATGACAAGCAATTCTTGAAGATGAATCGCAATATCTGACCACCGACTACTCCAGTGGATGGTGCCATGTGTTCACCCGGCGTTGACGTACAGAGCCGTCACCTGTCGCCCGTGGCGCGATCTCGACGGCGATGTTTTGAGCAGGAGACTTCAGTCGTCTCGACTTGGTCGGCCGGGCTCATGGTCGGAGCTGCCGGTGGATGATCTAGCAAAACTCTACGACATCGAATTGACATCTTTACTCGACGACCTCATTCCTGCACGAACTGTTCGTGTCCCCCAGCGAGCCTCCGACCCGTGGTTTGACGACGAATGTCGCGCCTCGAAGCGTGGTGTTCGGCCTGTCTCTTATACACATCTAGATGTGTATAAGAGACAGGGCCAGAACATGGAATGGTCTGCCAGCATCGGTGACATCTGCTTCTTCGCTGCCGTTGTTTCGTCGACGCCTAAAAACAGAACTTTTCCGTAGAGCCTTTGAATCTTAGGCCTAGCTGTCATCTAATCCATCATGCATATTAGTGGTTTGGTATAGATGTTGTTTGTTCTAGCATAGACGTCATCAGTCTTGGCACATGTCCTCTGTTTTAGCATAGACGCCATCTGTTTTTATCCTTTCGGGTCTTTTTAAGCCGCTTGTAACGTGCCCTCGAAGTTCGATGTGAACGAGACGCCACGACAATCTCTTCGTGGAATAATGAATGCAACAACAATGTTGAGAACCAGAATAATGCAGATGTAGAAAGATAAAATAAATTTATGTTCCTCCTGAAAGAGTTTCATCAGAGAAGAAAAATAGAGTAGGTATCCAATTATTAGTAAAATAACAGCCATTTGGAATTTTAAGCTTGATTGTGAGTCATGATGTTGTGGAATACTTGATGGAAATACTTTGTAGAAACATGCCTTGCAGTGGATTACTAATCCAATTTTGAGCCCAAATCTAAACTAGACAAGAAACTGCCGAGATTCCCAAATTTCTGGCTTTTATTTATGCCAAAAACTACACTGGAGCAATCACAAAACTGCAGATAGGTAACAAACTAAACTGCATCCTCAGGTAATGAACAGGTTCTGCTCCAGGAGGCTGCTAGCAAGTACATTTATACTTATTTTATTTATTTATGTCCACAGTGGGACATGCAGTATGTTTTAGTTATGATACAACCAGCTATAAAACCACTATAGCAATTGTTCACTGCATGCAATGCACTGCTCATGTTTGCTTCTGCTGCTGCCACTTGGCTGGCATGGAACTATCATTTTGAACTGACTTTTTGTTGAACAAGTATTTCTTGAGGAGCCAATGCAAAAACCAAAGAACCTCAGTTAGCAAAGGCTTTGGAAAATGAAAAAATTTTTTAACAACAAAGTATTTTGCAGATAATATACCCCTGTTAATGAAAAAATATTTAGTTAACAAAGAACTTACGCATCATCACCCGACACGTGACTCAGCTTATGAGACAACTCCTTCAAAAGACTCGTTTTAATTAGATGTTCATTATCTTTTTCTGTTCACATCCATCTTGTTTGATGATCTTTGCTCTTTATTTGAATAATTATAGCCCACAGATGTGTCTCCAAAGAAGGTTAAGAGTGATGGTAGAACTGCAGTGAAAGGCAACTGACCAACAATTGACTTGAAAAGGGAAATAACATACACTGAACAAGTTATTTCCTTCAACCTCAAAGCAACAGAGAGGGGAATCAACCCCTGAGGTCACGAGTCTGGATGTTCTCTTGGAGGGAGCTTCCCCATCTAAACAATTATTTCTTCCTCTCCTACTCCCAACTACTCCATCCACTCACACCATGTCTTGTGATGCTTTCCAAATGTACCTATTCTTATATTTAAGGGCTTTCTATAATGTTTTCTAGATTTATTTAGCTCCATTTATAACTGTTTTCAGTTAAAAAACATACCTACAAAGCCTGTATCTTCAATATATTGGCAAGTCAAGAAGGGCTGGAAACCATTCATTCTATTTACATTGATTTTTAAGGAGGAAATTATTTCAACTGACGATACCGGTATCATCAATAATGTTTGTGCTGAAAGGATGTTTGTGCATTCAACTGCCAATATCTGCAAAATCATTACAAAAGTACCTCATAATCCTATTCAAGAGCAATTCTTAAGTGGCAAGATATAAACATTTCAACTGAATATGTTCATTTTGAATTAAAGTGAATGCTTTCTTTTGAGACTAATAAGACTGAATAAAGAATTACTCATTTATACTTGAATAACCAGAAAGATATTAAATTGTTTTCATAAATTCTTGATGGACTTGACATCCCTAGAAGTTAGATCAAACTATCATTAGTAGTAAAAAAAACATTAAAAACTTACGGTAAAAACTCAGAGTGGGGCAAAATGAGTGCCTACAGGTAAGCAAACAGTACATGAATAAACAGTTGGTACAAAAATGTAATTACACGTCCATGAAGTGTACTTAATTGGAAAATATAATTCTCAATACGTCCATGAAGTGCAACTAACAGTCTATAAATGTATTTATCTACCAATGTGTTGAGGCAGTATGTGCTGCAAATATAATCATTTCAAAATTGATATATGAAGTCTTGTTGCACATTCATGACCGCCCTACTGGTAGGGTACGTAAAGTAGTTATTTTAGTTGCATCGGCATTTGTTGTAAACTGAGATGATTCTCATATAAATTTTTATTCCCTTCTACTATGATTGTATGACCTCAACTAAGGGAGAACTAGGTAATAAATATTGCATTAGCATGTTAATTGTAAGATAGGTAGGTTTCAGTAATTGTTTTGTGTTAGTACCAGACATTTAAAGAATTTGATTGATCTATTGAAACAGCATTAAAAGCTTGTTGCTAAATTTAGGAATATGAGTTTAAATTTTATTGTTAACTAACCCCTTTAGCAGGCAAGTAATCATAAAAGTTAACTCAAACCCTCCTCCCAAAAGGTTTTACAAGGCTACATTACCGTGCTGCCCATTCATCACCCTCTACTATGCAAAAGGATAGGTAAGCGGCTTGATCAAAACACACAAGCAGCTTGATACACAAGCGGCTTGATCAAAAGCTTGACTCAAGAGTGATTGACCATTTAGGAAACTGTTTGACGCTTGAGGAGAGGGTTGATGGCGATTGATAAAGTTTGATTGATGAAATTGATTGATGGAAAGATGTGCATATTTATAGGAAAAGGAAGGTCAAAATAAGATTCAAAGTCATTGCATACCACCAAAATCAACATAAAAGCTCAAAAAAATAAAACAACCACTAGCACAGCACAACATGGGTGAACTGTGAATTCAACAATGAACAACAAGTGTGAACTGTGAAATGATCCATTGATGATGAGCAGGAGGTTTTGATCAAAAGATTGAAAGCCAGATTGAGGTGGATTGAAGTGAGCATCAATCATTGATTTTACTGTTTAAGGGCTCCTTAAACAACAGACTTTGTTGATTGATTAGGGACTTCTTACAGAATTAAAATATAGCACTTTAAAGACAAGTTATGCTGTTGAAATTGACACCCTGTGCATTTTTCTAAACAACAGAGAATGCTATATCATTTCAATTAACAATAGAGACATGATGATATCATGAATTGTTTGAAAGTTAGCTCATACTAGATTAATTAATCTATTTATTATAAAGTTTTTTGGTCTAGGATTGCAGGTGAAGAATTATTTAACTTGAATTAAATCCTTCACAATGAAAAACTTAGCAGAAAGCTCCTGAGTAAATATATCATAAAATTTGTCAAAATTTCTCAAGCTAGCTATGAAACCTCAAATTTAGGCCTAGTTTTATGTCTTACCCATTAGTAGGCTAAATATATAATATTTAACTGATATTGATGAAGAAGTACAAAATAAAACATTTAACCATGTCAGGTTTCCAAAATAATAGCAGGGATTTTTGCAGCACTTGTTTGAAGAACCATTATAAGATAATAACTATTAACTAATGTGCTCAACAATGGGCAATTGTTAAATTTAAAATAACCATGAAGTTAATGGAATGAAAAAAAAGGACTTGGCACTTTTGGGATCTACTTGGAAAGCCAATTATTTTTGTAAATAACTGTTCCTCTGAATTTAATTCCCTGCCAGTGGTCAACACATAACATGTGTAAATACTTGAAATACCCTTACACTTACAGTAACACATTAATGATTTGCACGATCAACAAGGAATAGTATTGAAGACTTACCATTCACTCAATAGCAGATTTTTTCAAACCATCATTATCCCGAACTCCTGAAACAAAAAGAAAAAGTTGATAGATTGATTGAATAATTTTGATTAAAATTTAATTTGAAATCATTAACAGATATATAGATAAATTCATAAAACATATCGCAACAAATATAAAATCTTAAAAGGCTGAACGTGTCATGTTAATCGTTTGTTAAATTTAAAAAACGCGGCATGTTAACCGTTTCAATCTGGTAACGCAACCTCGATCACACGTGTTCGATGACAAGTGCAGGAGCACTTCGCATTTATCTACGAATAAAGGCAAATGAGATGTATTGCTACTGCTGCAATAAATATATTATGCACAAATCATATCAATAACATGAACAATTAACTTACAAGCATCTCTCTCAAATGTTTATTAACACACAAATCTTCCAATCAGGCGGGAGCGGCGTCGACCTTACTGCTTCAAAGCCGGCGCAAGAAAACGTTCGACTGACGCCAATCATGACCTTTTATACCACACAGTTGCACAGAGTCGAAACGTTGGATTGGGATTTAGAGTGAACTTCTTTCCCGTTCTATACACATTTCCGCGCGAGATACTCGTTCCGCTTTCGTACGAATACTTCTGAATTTAATGATCAGTACATTATTCCAGTCTTGTGGCGACTATATACGATGCTGCTTTATACGAATGTACGAAGTAGAATGAAAAAAATTCTTTAAAACATTGTAAATTGTATGTGATTATAAACAATCTCCGTCGTTCAGTGCGTGTGTGTTAAGGCCATCGCGAATGGGAGCATTTCCAATTTTTCAGGATTTAGGATTGATATTATGAATGAATAAACTATTTGTTACAGCAAATAAATTCACACAATTTTTAAATTTTACCCATTAGTCACAAAACATTAAAACAGCTCTGGCGCGCGTTGACATGACCGTCAAAACATGAAGTTCAAATAAAAAACAATGACAATTTCGAATTTCGGAATCGCATGCAATCCATCATCATTAATTTTAGTGTGTTTGAAACTAAATTTAGTTTCAACGTTGGATAAACATTACTATTTTCAATTATTTTGTTCCCACCACAATGCTGCAAATGTAGCAAATGTAACGAATAGGTACGGTACTCATGTCGTGTAAATAAAAATCATCTCAATTAATTGTCTTCAAAAATGGACATATTTGACGAACTCAATAATGAGGAAAAAGTTTTCCCGAGCGATATCTACTGAATCATAAAATTCAAGTGATGTTAATTAAATTAAAGAAGATCTCATAATAACCGTAAAACTGCAGCGAAATACGGATCGTTGTCACAGTAATAGGAGAAAATTCCAAAATCGTACAAGCTGAAATGTAATCTAATTTCGTAGTCAACTGGAAGACCTCACTGCCACGTACCTCGAATCAAAAATATCTCCAACCAAAATCTATTTAAATATAACAAAGGGAAAATAAACATTGGAAAATGTCTGGCAGTTCGTTGTTTGATTTATATGTAACGAGTGCAGCGTGCAGTGAACGCACGTTCACGAATCATGAACTACAAAGTACGTCCGTTAATTATAATTATATTGTTGTAGTGTTCACTACTTAAGCGATTCTATCTTGAGAACTTCCCAGCCGCGCATGCGTGTTTCGATATGAGCAATTTTTCTTGGGTTGAGATCAAAGTATATTTCGAGAGCGTGATCGCTCTTCTTCAACATGGTAATTTACAAGCAGCTCAACGTCAGGAATTATTGGTGTTCTACGGGTGCATTCATTTCACAGTTAACAAATGAAGGAATTTTGAAAATCTACGAATTCATATTGCTTTGCATTGTTGTTGCACTGTTCGTAGAGGAAATAAAAATTTCGAAATAATGAAATTCCTCCAGTAACCGATCAGTAAACAATAGCATTGCATAGGTCATTTTATTTCAAAACGATCGAAGGCTTCACACCAATCCAACCTTGATCAATACTGCAGCGACTGACACACGTCGTAGCTTAAAACGTTATATATTTTCATCGCTATGCTGCAACGCGCTTAATAAATACGTCCTATCAACAATAGTAATTGCGAATTCATTTTGCATAAACTAAGGAGCCAAATAAGGATATTCTTCTAGCTTGATTACTGATGCTTCTTGGTTTTCATTTCTAGCTCATAAAATTAAAATGCATCGACGCTAAAGCTATTGTCCAAATATGCACCATACAAAAACAGTGACATTTACAGCTCTTGCTTTTATTTACTATTCTCACCAAACTGACTGTCAAATTCAACAATAAACTTAGGTGTGCGTTTTGAAACCAAGCGTAAAACGAAATGAATGTAGTGAATTCCATGCTACTCAAATGAACTCATATGATCATTAAAACAGAATCATAGATTTCTTCTACTTAATTACAAAAAATACCAATGATATTACGTAATGGGTAAAATCAACCTGGAGTCGAACTATCAATACTTCATCTATACTTGATTCATTAGGTACAAGTAGCCACCGAATTCACGGTAGCGATTCCTGAGTTTAGCGCCAGCGATTGGCTGACGATCTCTCAACTACGCTAGAGCGGACCCAGGAAAACAACCGTGAAAGAATAGTAAGATTTTTTTATCCCTGTACATTGTACAATGTGCACTATATATTATACAGCTGATACTTCTGCCAGGCATGTTTGTCTCTCAAGAAATTGTCGACATAGTTTGTTTTGGTGGTGAAGCTCACGTACTTTCTATCACTGAAGTCACAAAAGTAATCAGTCCGAGCTGCAGGCTCAAGCTGCGCACTGATATCTCTTCTTGTAGGTAGCCACGAGCGTAGAATGGCTAAGTCTCGAGTTATGAGCAAGTCCAGTGAAGAATAATTAATAATAAAATAATAATAATAATATAATAATAAAATAATTAACGTATGAGTCTTAAAGCCAGCTGCCATTGTCACGGCAGATTTTTTTAAAACATAATAATGCATCTAAGGGACACACACAATTAAGAATTTTTTTAACTGATATCTTGTGATGTCGGAACATCAAATTTACTTGTATTTAAAGGCGACTGTGACGCGTTACCGTACTTTGGCTGCATGCTACACTGTCTTGTCTTCGCAGATAGTTCACGAGAAGTGAACTACCTCATTGGTTTGACTTCAAACGGAGGATCAAAAACAACGAAATAAAGAATAAGCGTAATTTTCTCCAAATTTTTCAAATCACTAAATTTCATGCCATTATTTTGCGCGAAACTCAGAATATATACTATGTAGGTAATATGTGTATCGCACAAATATACCATTTAAGGTACAACATGTATGATTAACAAATTTTCATTTGATTGCTCGGACATTGTACCAAATAACTAGACAACTCAATAAATACGTATAGTATGAATCACCGAATATAGTATAATATATCAGTAAGTCATAAAGCGATCGGTTATCTACGGACAATGGTATATATGCCTACTTTACACACGTGTCGTAGGAAGACAACCGAGATAATATGTGTTTAAAAATTACTTTTTAAAGACAACACTTCTGAACAATCCAGTGTCTTGGATGTTACGCATGTACAATGGATTTCTAATTTTATTTTCAAATATTGAAAAAGAAAATTATTTTTCAAAATTTTTTTAAGATAACAAAATTTTGTAAATTTTCAAAATTATTTATCCTGTCAATTGATTCATGCATTGTCTCTGACTTTATGCAATTGTGCTAAATTTCAGATCGATTGGACAGGTAGAAGTGTGTTGAATATCGATTATAAGATTTGTAGCAGACAGACAGACAAACAAACAAGCAAGAAGTGAAGTTAAAGAGAAGTGTTGTAATAAAAAAGAGCTCACAGTGGTCATCGGCCACCTTACAATAAAATGGTAACCTAGTGACCATGTAGAGTAGGAGCTTCATACTTAAGCCTAACACGAAAACAAAGAATCAGGTTGTATACAGGCTCGCTCTTGAAGTACATGCGGTACAGCTGACATGGGCTTGTTCTATAGGTATACGCAGCCTTTTTGTCACATTGAACAGCAACGTCAATGCAGTAAATAGGGCAGTTACGCTACTGCATTGCATATGTTTACAGCATGTACAAATTCAGAGACAACGGAATGGAAGCCACATAATATCACATATTTTCGCAATAAAATTTTTGATATAGCAGGTAAACGCACATGGTATTAGAGACTTATGGCGCATTATTCAATGCAGTTCAATTTCAATATGATGCAGTCAAATATGATCCTGTCTTTCGAGGCAAAATGAAGTGTAATCCTACACCGATTATCAATCCGTTCAATAAAATCTCGTTTTTAAATAATATTAAATCTAACCATCCAACCAAACGTAAAAATCTAATTTGAGTGAGCGATTGAGTGATGTTCTCTTCGGTTGACTTTATAAAGATAAGTCTGTATTGTTGTATTTTACTAAGTGAACCTCAAGCATGTATTTGTATTATGAACAAAATTTTCGTTCACCAGCATCCAACTGGTCTCATGAAAAGTCCTTTCCAGGAATATCAAGAATAAAAAAATTAGATTATTTAAAAAAAGAATGAGAATTTATACTGCATTCGGCCTCCATCTGTGGTCCTTGGGCCAGCTCGTGAACGCTCCGTATCTCGAATGTTTTGATTTTAAAGGCCTTATAAGTCGGTAAGGACAATGATTGAAGAAAATCTTTTATAGTGTTGGAACAGAAGTACTGCCTGACGCAGAAAGCCTGGCGCTCGTGTATTTGGAGGAACAATATTTCGTTTTAACAGTTTTATTTGTACTTTATTCAAATGATATCCCGACACACGAAGGATAGTAGCAGAAGCGTGAGCACCAGAGGTCGCAGCAAGCGCCCAGCCTGACATGCACCACGTTGAGACGACTGACCAACTCTCGGCTACAAGATAACATAGGAAAGACCACAAAGAATTCAAAAGTAAAGAAAACGCCAAGAACCAAGGACGCCAAGACCACGTGCGATGATGACTGTACGAGAGACAAGCGATGATGAGACGCAAGAGAGTATTGAGGATGGTTGCACCATCGATCGACGCCA